TCTACGAGGCACACCGAGGCGTTGAATGATCTCTGTCGGGCGCTCATTTCGCTTATGAAGTTCGATAATGGAAGCGCGATGAATGTTAGCCTTCGCCATTTCTCGGAAACACATCCGAATGAAGTGAAACATGAAAAGTAAGTAAAATACACCTTATTTAACAAAAATAAATTGTATTGGTGCACGAAAAGTGCGACAGCCAAGCTTTTCATGGCGTCTAACTTTTGTGCGGGAACTTAAATGACACCCTGTATGTCCACACAAATTGAGAGAGCAAATAAGAAAAAAATGTTTCATTTTGAAAGATGATTTGACATGATGTTGGCTGTATACACAGAATACATTTACTTTCTGCGGGTTCCATCCTCGAAGAAGACTCCGCCGTCGATGGCGCAGTACTTGGGGCAGATTCCCTTCTCTCCAGCACCTCCTGGCTGTCCTGGCTGTCCTGGGGCTCCTGGGTTTCCATCGGCTCCTGGCTGTCCTGGGGCTCCAGATGGTCCCTTTGGTCCTGGGGCTCCTGGCTGTCCTGGGCCTCCTGGCTGTCCTGGGGCTCCGGCTGGTCCTGGTGGTCCTTGTGGTCCAGCTGGTCCTGGGGCTCCTGGGGTCTGCTCGCTCTGGGCATCTTGTCCTGGCTGTCCTGGGGCTCCTGGCTGTCCTGGCTGTCCAGCTGGTCCTGGGGCTCCCTTTGGTCCGGCTGGTCCTGGGGCTCCAGCTCCCGATCCTTGTCCTGGCTGTCCTGGGGCTCCGGCGTCTCCGGCTGGTCCTGGTGGTCCTGGTGGTCCTGGTGGTCCCTGTGGGCATGGCTTGCATGGTGGTGGGGTGATTGGCTCGCATGGCTGCGCTGGTGGTCTTCCTGGGTTTCCTGGGAGTCCGGCCGCTCCTGGCTTTCCTGGACGTCCTGGCTTTCCTGGAGTTCCAGCTGGTCCAGCTGGTCCTGGGAGGCAGCATCCCGAGCAGGATCCTCCTTGAGCTTCACCTCCTCCGCTGACCTCAGCATCTCCGTATCCGGCCTGACGGGCGAATCTGGTGGCGTTCTTTGGCGAGGCACGGATGTGGTTGACCTCGGCGAAGATGTCTCTGGCCGAGTGCTTGCAGAAAGCGATCTCGTGGTTGATTTGGTGCTTGATTCCGCTCACATAGTTGGAGACCATTGGCAATGTGATGCAGAGCTGAATAAGCGAGCATGAGCACTCGAGACGTGATCATCATCACTTACCGAAAGCACGGCGACCACCGAGAAGGTGACGGCCGAGTAGGCGACAAAGCGGTACGCGTGAAGTCTCTGCTTCTCCTCCATCGAACCTGCAGGTGACTTCCAAGCGCTAGCAAATGCTTATATAGTGTTTCTTTGGCAGCTTGCAGACCGCCTTTCATTGGTGAGAGATAATGAAAAAATTGTGTACGGAGACATTGGCGAACACTTCTGGTGTAAGTAAGAAAAAAGCGGCATTGGTTTAAAAAGTTTTACACAACCTAGACAGATAGTTGCGCAAGATTCAATGGGAACACAAAAAGTTGTTAACCGCCAACAAAGCAGTGAGGTCAAAGGAGGTGTAGTGAATGAGATGGGAATGAACTCGCAAATTACCAATGAGTAATGCAATACATTCTCTAATTGATTGAAGTAAAATCAATTATGGATTCTGATTTAATAGTAATTTGCATATGTTCAGCTATTAAAAATTTTTTAAATTTACATCGATGCGGAAAAAAATAATTTTTTCTCTTTTTTATTACATATATTTTTTTTAAATCGTGTAAAACATAGTATTTAAACTATTTCGAATAATTAATCATGAGCTTCAATACTAAAATATGGTCACATGGGAACCAAAAGAACAAAAATTCCTATTTCGAAAAAAATGGCCTTAGCTTGAAAAACAAACAAAATTGGACGAAGAAACTTTTCGTTTAAAAATAATAAATTTGAGAATAACGAACCAAACTCAGAAATTGTTTTTGAATATGTTTTAAAATTGTCATCATTAAAGGTGAAATTAATATAGAAGACCAGAGAAAATTACGATGACCCCAATTTATTAAGGTGCAAATCATTGGATCATTTGAATTTCCCGTAAAATAATAATTTTAAAAAACAATAATTTTCGACGTTTCTTGATTTTATTCTTTATCTGCAACATAATTTCTATAGCGAAACAAGCTTAATCGTATTTACCAAGAGGTTAATCATATTGTTATTAATTGGTTCCTGCCATTCTCTTAAGTTCATTTGTAACACTGTTCCTATTAAGCTTACACTACTTTCATAGTTTTTTTTCCACATATTATCTCTCACCAATGAAAGGCGGTCTGCAAGCTGCCAAAGAAACACTATATAAGCATTTGCCAGCGCTTGGAAGTCACCTGCAGGTTCGATGGAGGAGAAGCAGAGACTTCACGCGTACCGCTTTGTCGCCTACTCGGCCGTCACCTTCTCGGTGGTCGCCGTGCTTTCGGTAAGTGATGATGATCACGTCTCGAGTGCTCATGCTCGCTTATTCAGCTCTGCATCACATTGCCAATGGTCTACAACTATGTGAGCGGAATCAAGCACCAAATCAACCACGAGATCGCTTTCTGCAAGCACTCGGCCAGAGACATCTTCGCCGAGGTCAACCACATCCGTGCCTCGCCAAAGAACGCCACCAGATTCGCCCGTCAGGCCGGATACGGAGATGCTGAGGTCAGCGGAGGAGGTGAAGCTCAAGGAGGATCATGCTCGGGATGCTGCCTCCCAGGACCAGCTGGACCAGCTGGAACTCCAGGAAAGCCAGGACGTCCAGGAAAGCCAGGAGCGGCCGGACTCCCAGGAAACCCAGGAAGACCACCAGCGCAGCCATGCGAGCCAATCACCCCACCACCATGCAAGCCATGCCCACAGGGACCACCAGGACCACCAGGACCACCAGGACCAGCCGGAGACGCCGGAGCCCCAGGACAGCCAGGACAAGGATCGGGAGCTGGAGCCCCAGGACCAGCCGGACCAAAGGGAGCCCCAGGACCAGCTGGACAGCCAGGACAGCCAGGAGCCCCAGGACAGCCAGGACAAGATGCCCAGAGCGAGCAGACCCCAGGAGCCCCAGGACCAGCTGGACCACAAGGACCACCAGGACCAGCCGGAGCCCCAGGACAGCCAGGAGGCCCAGGACAGCCAGGAGCCCCAGGACCAAAGGGACCATCTGGAGCCCCAGGACAGCCAGGAGCCGATGGAAACCCAGGAGCCCCAGGACAGCCAGGACAGCCAGGAGGTGCTGGAGAGAAGGGAATCTGCCCCAAGTACTGCGCCATCGACGGCGGAGTCTTCTTCGAGGATGGAACCCGCAGAAAGTAAATGTATTCTGTGCATACAGTTCATCATGTCAAATCATCTTTCAAAATGAAACATTTTTTCTTATTCACTATATTCTTGATAATCTGTTAGTGTTTCGAAAAGTTTACAAATTGTTTTTTGTGATGTCTTGCCTTTTTCGCACTCAAACCCTCTTTTGGTATTTTGTTTTCAATCTTTTGTGACGTCGTTTGGTTCGTGGTATCAATGACGGAGTGGCATTGACCAGCGGCAATAATGGCAAATGATATGACCAAAGCCGGAACTGTTTGTGAAAAACTGATATTACGAGAACCGATACTCCCAATGCTAACTGTAACCGGTTGCAAACTGCTAGTTGCGTGTAAAATGTAGTGTACAATTTCAAAGACCAGAAACATCACTGAAATGATCAGAAATTAGATATAATATTTTCCAGTAATGGGTTGTTGTTCTTGAAGGAATTCCTTTCAGACATAAGATTAACGAGATTATAGAATATCTGTAGAACAACAATTTGCTTTTTGAGTGGATGTCGGAAAAGATATCGTGCCCGAGAAAATACTAATCCAAAAACAAAAAATTTTTGAATCTTATTGTCGACGTCGACTCCAACCTATTCGCACTCCCATTAAAAAACGAGCGTCCCGTTTAAATTCAAACTAGAATTACCGCATTACCGAATATTAATCAAGGCGCTCGTTTTCTGCGTTAATAATAATTAAAATTTTATTTTTTCGATAGAAATAGCATTCCATGCGGGCGGGCGAATACGCGGGTCCGAATTATGCGCACCCTCCCGCGGCCGTGAATTATTCGGCCATGGCATGTTCCACGTCCGCCGGTATTTCGAAATTTTTAAAAAATATTTTCTCGATTTCTTAAAATTGTTTTGGTTAATTTTTGCTAATTTCTGTTATAAACACATAAAATAACAAACAAATAATTGAAGCATGCACATTGTAGTAAAAACATTTGCGATCCTATATATTTCGGGTTGCGAAGTTTCAGAACGATTTCGATCAGCATTTCAAGCAATTTTTGAGTTTAAAATTTGCTTAACTTTTATTTCTACTTGATACATACTTGCTTTTAAATAATAATAGCCTTTTACCGCCCGCATGGAATGCTTAGAGAAATGAATCTTTTGTGAAACGTCGTTTTCGGGCGATATGGGATGGCGCTGAATTTTACATTGCCCAACGATGGCGCACGAAACCAACCGCCACGTTTCCGCTTGAATTGGAAACCAACGGCGGAATAAATATTTTGAAAACGCGGAATTCCGCCCAACTCTGTTTGGACCAATATTAATACTTCAGAGATTGAAGTTATATGAGGATTGAAATCTAACTGATATTGACCACTTATGTATATACATACCTAGAAACCCCTATACAACTTCTCTATAAAATAATTCGAGCTTGTTGGATTGATAGTTCGTTTCAGGCTATCACAAATGTGATGTTTCAAAATCATTGAAATTCTAATGTTTGAAGCTCGTTATCACAAAAAGAAATATCATTCATCTTATTGAATCGTTTTTTCGTTGTCATGATGCAAAGAAATACTTTCTTCTTTCTTCCTTTTTAATTTTTAAAAATATATACTAACAATTTGTGCAATGAAAAATTTTTACTTCTTGAAAAATAAAAACGAGAAAAAATATTGTTGCTGTCGCGAAAGAGATTTACTTTCTGCGGGTTCCATCCTCGAAGAAGACTCCACCATCGATGGCGCAGTACTTGGGGCAGATTCCCTTCTCTCCAGCACCTCCTGGCTGTCCTGGCTGTCCTGGGGCTCCTGGGTTTCCATCGGCTCCTGGCTGTCCTGGGGCTCCAGATGGTCCCTTTGGTCCTGGGGCTCCTGGCTGTCCTGGGCCTCCTGGCTGTCCTGGGGCTCCGGCTGGTCCTGGTGGTCCTTGTGGTCCAGCTGGTCCTGGGGCTCCTGGGGTCTGCTCGCTCTGGGCATCTTGTCCTGGCTGTCCTGGGGCTCCTGGCTGTCCTGGCTGTCCAGCTGGTCCTGGGGCTCCCTTTGGTCCGGCTGGTCCTGGGGCTCCAGCTCCCGATCCTTGTCCTGGCTGTCCTGGGGCTCCGGCGTCTCCGGCTGGTCCTGGTGGTCCTGGTGGTCCTGGTGGTCCCTGTGGGCATGGCTTGCATGGTGGTGGGGTGATTGGCTCGCATGGCTGCGCTGGTGGTCTTCCTGGGTTTCCTGGGAGTCCGGCCGCTCCTGGCTTTCCTGGACGTCCTGGCTTTCCTGGAGTTCCAGCTGGTCCAGCTGGTCCTGGGAGGCAGCATCCCGAGCAGGAACCACCTCCTCCTTGAACCTGGCTTCCGCCGCTGACTGGAGCGTCAACCTCATATCCGGCCTGACGGGCGAATCTGGTGGCGTTCTTTGGCGAGGCACGGATGTGGTTGACCTCGGCGAAGATGTCTCTGGCCGAGTGCTTGCAGAAAGCGATCTCGTGGTTGATTTGGTGCTTGATTCCGCTCACATAGTTGTAGACCATTGGCAATGTGATGCAGAGCTGAATAAGCGAGCATGAGCACTCGAGACGTGATCATCATCACTTACCGAAAGCACGGCGACCACCGAGAAGGTGACGGCCGAGTATGCGACAAAGCGGTACGCGTGAAGTCTTTGTTTGTCCTCCATTTCGCAACAGAAGATGCCATTCTACTTGATTCGATGCCCTTTTATAGTAGCCGAGAGTAGCGTAGAAGGAGTAGGCGGGCTCTGATAAAATTTTTGAAACGGAATGCCCAATAATCAAAAGTTAGTGCTAAATAGGGAAGAGATAGAGAAAAGAGATAGCGAGTAACAAAGAAGGCGAGTTTTTCCTAGTCTTCTGCGCAACGAATATTTTTTTCTTCTTCCGCTTTACACTGTTTTCTCTATATTTGAACAGTATTACAACCGCCATTATTTTAGAGGACAGTGCGGAGAAAAAATAAGGAGGAGAATTAACAAAGAACAGAAGGTCATTTTTTTTCAGAGAATTGGAAAATGAAGGCGCACAACTTAAGGATGCGCTTCATACATGCGAGCAAATTGAAAAATTGGCTGAAATTGGTTCGAACGTTGATATCGAAAAAGTTCAAAATCGGTTAGAAAATATACAGAAATTTAAAAAAAAAACACCAATAATTCATTGGCAGAATAATTGTTCAAGAAGAAACTTTGTCAAGACTTCATAAGGAATCCAATGAGAAATCAGCAAAAATTGAGATCCTCTCCGATCAGATTCGAATCAAAGAGCAAAGTTTGGAATCAATGAAAGCTGAAGAAGAAGCTCTCAAAGCAACAATAAATGCCATGATTCTGGTTTGAAAAATGACATCCTTTAAATCATTTTTGATCGCTAATTTTGTAGGGACCTCAAGAAGAAGTTCGAAAATGCGTTGAAGAAATCCTGAAATACTCGCCATCCGATATGAAAGAGTTGACCAAAATTGCGAAGCCTTCCGTCGGTATTCGACTCTGCTGCGAGATGCTGCGAACAATTTTCGATGCAAATTTTAAACCTAGTATGCTTGTCAAGTTCCATTCAATTCTTAATTGTTTGTCATGTTGTAACATTGAGAAAACCCTTGAAAAAACTCGATAAGTAAAACGAATGTTGTTTTTCACTGCAATATGACCAAAATAACGAAAGATTGCTGGAAAAAATTTTTCAGAAAATGTGAAATTTTCAGAGAAAAATGTTGCTGAAATGTGGGCCGAATCGCAGAAATTTTTACTCGACAAAATGTTTCTTGTAAAAGTTGCAACATTTGATGCGGTACGATTTTCCATCTAAAAATATATTAAAAATATTGCTTTTTCAGGAAAGTTTGACTGTTGAACAAATGAAAGTTTTGAAAAAGTATGTGGAACGAGCCGAATTTAATGCGAATCGAATCGAGAATGAGTCTAGAATTTGCGCTGGATTGTGCCGATGGATAAGCGCTTTTTTGGAATTAGCCTGGTATTCGCAATAGTTAAACGAAAAATCGGCAAATTTTTGTGGATTTAGCACACTTCGATTAGTAGAAAGTCAGATGGAAGAAGCAAAGGAATTGCGATCTCAATTACGTCAAATCGAAGACAAATATGATGAAGAAAATAATGAAATGAAAACATTAAAAGAGGACGTGGAAAATGTGCAATTATCATCATTAGTTTTTCATATATTTATATAGTTTAGTTATCCATTTCGATAAGAGAAAATGAGCAAAATCTCGCAAGTGATAGAAGATTATGCGATTATCGGTTGAGAAGTGGCGATCTTCTCGAAGCATTGTCATCACATCGGAAACGGTTGGCGGATGGTGTGTCCAAATGTGTACATAATGTAATATTTCAGATGGGTTAATGAATTGACAATAAATGTGAAGAGAAGTGCAGATCTTGTAGGAAACACTCTACTATTTTCGATTTATCGCGCACTTTTATTAGCATATCATCAATCAGTTTCGATGGTTTATTTCAAATTTATGGTTTTTTTTAATTAAATTTTTTTCAGACAGCGATTCAATTATGTGCGAGACATTTAACCGAAGAAAACATTTCATTTGAGCCATCAGTGATCACACAATCAAACGTTGTTAATACTATACTAAGGTACTTATGTATATTCGTTCGCCTATATATTATTTCGATTTTTATGGCAGGAATTTGCGCGAATCTCGAAGATTTTGCTTATTCATCAACAAAGAAAACGATGACATTCTGCGAAATTTGAAGTCGGTGATACCGAATGCAACGTATTTGGACATGGGATCGACTTCGTGGCAAGAACCATCGTTTATTACAAATCTTTCGAAGTATATTTATTCTGTCGTTCCAACGGTGAATATTCGCAATTGCTTATAATTTAAATACAATTTTTTAAATTGCAGGTTTTCTATAATTTTCAAACATGTCCACCGCCGGAAATGTACGAAATTCTTATGAAATCAGAGGACAAGGAAATGTGCTATCGGAATAAACCAATCGAGCTTCCAGAAGACATCGTTTTTGTGTTTGTCGCCAAAAATGATATTCATATTCCAGATCAAATCAAAAAACTGGTAATCGCCTATTCAAAATTTTAATCTAAAATTTTCATTATTTGAGATGGAATTAATCGTTGTTAATAATCCAATTGATCCGATCGACGATAAGGCGAAAATGGAGAAACGCGAGTTGGCAAATCTGTTATGTGAATTCACCGCTGCCGATATCCTTGAATCGCGAGATCTTGTTCGAAAAGCGTTGCAACTTGCACAGAGTTTATAACCATTCACAAGCAGTCAAAATAAATAAAAGGTCATTTATGGTGTGAAATCAACTTCCATTGAAGTGTCATCAGCTATCTTTTCAGATGGCTCATCATGGCTTGTATTTTCAACATCTGAACGTTCTCTGAATTTCCGCTGACGTTTACGCATCGAAGTAATTCGATTCGTAACTTTGCCGATCGATTCATCGAATATTGATTGCAGCTAAAATTCGATATTTTTTAAACTATCTTTTCAATTTCAAGCATACTCCAGCAGTCGAATCCACAAACGTCTTCACAGCATTTAGTAATTGTGTGTTATTTTCGAAGCGCTGATTCTTATCACGAATGCATTGCTCGAATTTTGTAGCGTGCTTCAGACTCTCAATCATGGTCGTCTGAAAATTAATAGCTTCATAAATAAATACACAGTTCGTCTACTAACTATTGTCACATCACAGGTGTCAACGACTGCTGAGAAGTCCCATAACGCTCTTTGATAATTTGCGACTTCTTCGGTTAAAGGTGCATCAATATTTCCATTCGTTTCTTGATTTCGTCGAGCATTCAAAAGAGCTCCACATTGCCTATTCACTTCCTTTAATTATTCGATTTTAATAATCTTTACTCATTTTTCTTAAACCAAAATTGATTGCCGCAAATCGCTGGAAATCAATGTTCTCGTCAATGAGACAGGATCTTGAACCGTTCGAAGCTGCTCTTCACTCGGACGTGGCTCAGAGGGCTTCTGAATTAATTTCTCAAGAAAACTTCGCTTTGACTTATTATTACGTTTTGGTAAGGTGTTTGTGGAGCAGCAGAATTCGGCGCTCCTGCGTTAAATGCATTTGAGCCAGGAGGTTGAACCTAAAAGTATGTGTATGTTTAATGAATTGGTCACTTTTAACCGATTCTGGAGGTTGAACCTGAACAGAATGGGTAGATTTATTTTTTTTTAGAAAAAAAAAAACAACTTACAGATTGAGGGCCCATCGATCCTGGATTTTGAACAGATCCGGGTGCGGCAAGACTTTTGACTGATCCTGGTGCCCCCATGTTTTGCAACGAACCTGGTGGTTGAACATTCACTGACGGCGGACCACCGTGACTTTGAACCGATCCTGGTCCACCCTGTTGTTGAATAGACCCAAGACCACTTTGACTTTGTACAGATCCCGGACCGCCATGAGGCTGGACTGATCCTGGACCGCCCTGATTTTGTAATAATCCATGACTACCATGTTGTTGCACCGATCCTGGACCACCGTGGCTTTGCACCGATCCTGGTCCCCCATGTTGTTGGACAGATCCAAGGCCACCTTGACTTTGAATCGAACCTGGACCGCAATGTGGCTGAACTGAACCTGGCCCACCATGGCTTTGAACAGATCCTGGACCACAATGGCTTTGAACAGAACTAGGCCCACCAAACGGCTGCACGGAACCCGGTCCTTGGACCGACAATGGTCCGGAATTGGCAATTCCCGGAGGAACGGATTGTGGAGGCGCGACAGATGCTGGTCGAGAAATAGAAGCCAACGGAACGGACATTGGCTGAAAATTTGGAAAAAAATTCGTTTTGATATTATTAATAGTTGGCTACATTCATATTATGCATTACATTCAAATTTTGAGGACTCGATTGCTGTGTATTCACAAGATGTGTCATATGAGAAAATGATGAACCCGATCCTTGTAGAGGTATTTGTTGTTGCCCCTGAAAAATTGCGGATAGAACCTGCTCCTGGCTTCTTTAGTTTGTCGGCTAGTTTCTGTTAGAAATTAAATTACTTGCTGTTGCTGCTGCTGCTGTGGTGAATTTGAGTACAATTGTTCTTGTTGCCCAGACATTGTTCCTAAAGATTTTATGGAATGATATATACACACGACTCAGGTAATAAGATATTCAAAAGAATTCCAACAATTCAAGAATATATTGAAGGACAATAATAGCTATCTATTTATTTTACAGTTTATACATTGAATGAAAAGGAGGCTTAGAACCAATGATCCCATTGACATTCTTCTGTCCAAGCTGAGACACATTTGAAGCACCAATCAAAGCCGCACGAAGTACAATGAATATGAGCGCATCCGCCGTTTCGTTCCGTCGGAACATTACATTTTGGGCATTTCCTATTTTAAACAATGTAAAAAATAAAATGTTAACGATTAAACATTTACCTAGTTGTTGCTTCAATCGTTACTCGCGATAAATCATCCTGTTTATGACATACACAATCACGCTCATTGCATTTTCTCAAAAAAAGGAATATCCAGTTTCAATTAAACTGGTAAAACATTTTACTACCTGCAAAATGTGAAGAAACAATCGGGACATTGTGATTTTCCATCGTCGTTGTAAGGTTCCCAAAAGAAGTTTTGGCCACAATTCGGATTAGGGCAAACAACACCTGAAAAATGAATTTTTAAAAATATATAATCGAAACAATTGGAATTTATACCATCATCATCAAGAGCAACGAGTTTTTCGGTGGCTCTTTTCTGGTATTCCTTGTACTTTTCCTTCCCCATTACGTAGAAATGATGAACATCTTGAACAACTCCTGCGAACCGTTATTTCAATTATTTTGTTAAAAATAATATTTTACTATCGCATCCCGTGAATGGGCATAATATTGTGTATCCATGCGGTGGACGCGAAACAAACGAGAAGTTTGCGAGAGCGTGAAGCAGATATTCCTGAAAAAAGAAATAATTCCACGAATCTTCGGAGTAGAAAAAATTACCTTGAAGCAGTCTTGGCACGTAGGATGATTGCAGCCCAAGTCAAATATTACTCTTTCTTTCGAATCACAAACGCAGCATTCGGCAAGTTGCCAATTTCCGCGAGCATGTGTTAAAACTGCGCATATCTAAAAAGAATTTCACTCAAAAAAAAACTAGGTACATTATAAAAATAAACTACCTCATTACATTTGACACATTTAAATTTAAAGTCCGCAAAAAGATGATCTCTTTGACAATTTTCACAGTCAACTTCTATACGTTTACTAAAATTGTTGAAAAATATTTGGATATTATTTCTTGAATTACCTTTTGAGGACGTCGTTCCAATTTTCGGGTTCTCGTTTCACGATTATTGAATTTGCTGAGCATCCAGAGCAATAGATACGCAATTTTCCTTTATTGATCGATTCACATGATTTGCAGTACACGTAAAACGAGCTAAAACTTGACGTTTCAGTTTTAGGCTGCGCAGACGATGCCGTTGGAGTCACTACATTCTGACGAAGAAGCATGATACTACTAAATCAACATGTGCGCTTGGAATAATGTTAATATTGTCGATATGAAATACGTTGCAGGACTCAGCGATAAATCCTTAAGAAAGGTTGCCAGTGATAACTTTTTCCCGCAGAATATTACATCAAGCTCTGAACTCGGAATTTGTGTGGCACATTCAACAGATTTCACTAGCGACGCAATACTTTGACTTTTTTCTATCTACAAAGAATCGTTTGTATTTCAATGTCCATCGTTTTTTTAAACCACACCTGAACAGTGAGATTTTTCCTCGTTTGATTTTTTCGGTCGTAAACAACCACATTTACCGCTTCTCCACACATTGGCAATTACCCTTAAATTTTAAATATAATGTTTTGTTTTTAAAATAAATTAATTATAACTTATGGAACGGTTCATACAATAAAAATGTAAAAATTTACGCATATTTTGCAGTATTGTCGAAAAAAAGCAACACCTTGCGCCGACTTACGGTTAGTTAGCTTCGCAGGTTATCCAGAGTATGGTGTTCGAATTCCCAGTTTGAATTTGAATTTGAATTGTCGACTCGAAAAATTGCGATGGTTTACATTTATTCAAGGCGCTCGTTTTTCTTTTGCAATGGTAATGAAAAATTCGCATTCAAGGTAATTTTTTAATTTTTCTTTTAAAAAAATATTTTATGAAAAGTTCCATTAAATAAAAAAAAGATAAAAACTTCTAAATTCCTAGTCCATGACTGAAATAAAATCAAAGTGAAACACAAATTGTGCAAACACCGACACCCAACAATTGCGGTCTTGGCAAATTTTCCCCATTCTCTGCTTCAATAAAACTTTACGAAATCTCTTTATTTACATGAATAAACTGCCAATAATTACTATTCTGATCAATTTACGTGCAATATATGGACTAGGATGCCAAATGTAAAAAAATTGCCAATTATTAGGGTTAGTCATCTAATAGTGGTTTTCTTTAAAAAATAATAATACATATATATAAAGAGCTTAATTATTTCCTTAATGCTCCAAAATTCGCAAGTTTCCGGAAACAATCTTGTTCTCCAAAATTGAGCCTGGCGGAATGTCGATACGATCTCCGTGATTCGCGATTATGATGACAGTTCCCTGAAAAGATTGCGTATTTAAATTCTTTAGAATTGATAAAATGACTTACTTTTAATGAAACATCCTTTCCGAACCAAACGTCACCACTAACAGTCAAGTGATCAAGTTCAAGCAGATCTGGAATTCCGTTGAAACGGGACAAGAAGTCTTTAACCTAAAAAATTCCCTTTTCAACCATCGGTATAACCAAAATTACCTTATCGAAGCTGCTTCCTAACTTCACAAGAGGTGTCGTCGGGAACGATCGTTGATGCGAAAGAGTCAAGCTTCCGTTATCAATGTCATACAAGTTCGACATGAGCAACAGCAAGTCCGATGTCTTCTTGACTGGCAAAAAGCGCGATCGAGGCACATTGATACCGACGGCGCCCTTGAAGCTCTTGATGGCTGCTCCGGCTGCCGTCTCGAGTTGAATAACATCAAGACCGCGGTCGAGATGTTTCGGGTTAACGATAACCTCCATTTCAAGTTTGTTCTCAACCACAACCTTCTTCATCGTCTCAAGTTTCGCCCACAAGTTGTTGGTGTTGAAGATTCTGAACTTGCTGACAGACTTGAACTCGTCGACGTAATCCTTCGGCACTTGTGCAATTTCCAGAAGCATAAGACGTCCTTCATACTGAATAAGGGTTCCTCCCTTAACATCAGCACGTGTCTTGTTGGTAACCTGTTAATTTTCAACTTGATCCACAATTCAAAATGCTCATAAAACCTCCATCAAGAACTCTGGTGGCACTTGATCCGCCGGCGGATTGAGCAAAAAGTTCAAAATCGACAAGTCGACAGTAGCTCCCATGTTGTCAATATTCGACAAGAAGCAATATTCCTTTCCGTCGGCCAAGAATTTGTCAAGCAATCCCGAATTGTGGAAAGCCTCGTAGAAGTTTCCGTGACCTGGCGGGTACCAGCTAGAATGACAATTGATTTGCGAAACAAGAATTGCCTCAATTTCCCACCATTCATTGTCCTCTCCTTCAAGACTTTTGGCGATTGGAAGTAGAGTCTCGCGGTTGATGCGCGGATATTGCGATTGCGAGAAGGTGTGAACCGACACCTTGACATTCGCGTACTTTTTGAGCACCTTTTCGGTATCCTCATTGGTGTTGAACGAATTCATCAAGACCAATGGAACATCGACACCATAAGTACGGTTGAGAGTCTTAAATATAGGTATTGATTTCAAAACATTTTCATTAAACGTTGCAAACCTGAATCTGTTGCATGGTTAAATCCAAGAAAGTCAAGTCGTTTCTCACAGAAATAACCGACTTTGGCCCTTTGCATCCCATCGATGTTCCAAGACCTTAATATTAAAAAATTCTATTGAAATTATGAATTAGTAATAGATAACCTCCATTGAGCTTCACAACTACCAATTTGTTAAGTTGTTGAGCGATGATTTCTCTGTCGGTGACCGATTCCAACTGCAATCAAGCAAATTGTGATTGATGGCAATTCATTTCTGTTCTTACGCTCTTATACGGACGAATCGAACCCTCCGGGAGTGGCTCAATCTTGTTCCATTCGACGTGCGGCTTGGCACGAAGGAAGCGAGCAAACAAGTTGCGGAATCCAGACAATTCCGTACGATAGTGCTGTAAAATTTTGGATAAAAACGTCGCTATTTAAGAAGGAAGGGAACCTCAAGATTCTTTGGCGAAGCGGTTGAGAGCAACTGAGCCAATTCTCCTTCCATACTTCCCAAAGCCTCGCGCTTGGTAGAAGTCTTCCATTCTTCAGAGCTCTGAAAATATGAGCGTTGGTATAGATAGAATAGATTTATGGTGAGTGTCCAGTTTGAATTGTCGATAATCTCGCGATACCTCTAATGCTTTTTGATCAATCGAATGCAGACGATGCACAGGCTGCGGGGTCATTGTCACTTTAAATCAAACCACTAATAATCGAACGAAATGAGAAACGATGGAGAATTGACAATCCTCCGACGAAATCAACAATACGAGTTCCAGAGAACTTCTCGTCAGCTCATTGCATCAAATCATCAACAAAAACAATTTGTGTTGCAAAACATATCAGAATTTACAAAAAAAAAAGAATCAAAAGTGCAGCAATACAATTTTTCAATATTGTCTAGGCGAGCCAAAGAGAAATGCGACAGATAGAATGTTTAGGTGAAAATCGCGACGCTGGTTATCTCCATGATCACATCGTTTTATTCTCATTGAAAAAAAAAACGAGAAAAACTGGACATTTCGGCGGATAAAATATAAACAAAATGATCGTGGCAAATCATTAAAATGCATGATCTTTTACAGAAAAAATGTCGATCGCGTCTTAACTAAAATTCGGAAATTTTCGATTTTTTAAACAGAAAATACGACAATGCACAGCGTTTCGATCCTCGTTTTATAGGGGTCCATTATCCTATTCCAGTTTTGCTTATCTCAGGAACCATCGAAAACTATGTTCTTCTGAACTCACACACTTCCCCCTTATAAAAAAAAATCCCGTTTCCCATTGGACATCAATTTTCAAGAGCCGCCAACATTCAATTTTGCTTACGTGATTTTTCGAACAATGACGAGTCTTCCGTGTTTTTCGTTTATTCTGACAGCTCTATTATTACACTAATAAGAAAATTTTCGTTGAACTTTTTTTTACAATGTATTAAAGAAAAAGAAAATAAGCAAAAGTGGAACTGAAATTAATGTTTAAATAAGGAACAAAAAACAAGTTCGATGTCGAAAATATCCGATTTCTGCTTATTTTATACGAACATCATCATCAAATTAGCGTAGTTTGTGCTACACGAGGTCCTTCTAGATGATACGGGCATAATCACAAGTTTTGTAGTGACTACAGAGAACGACCTTATCGCAGACAATAACTAATCCACTACAAAAAAAACATCACTTACCCGTTTCACGTCATTTTCCGACTCGCGGAATGAGACAAGCCGGTTGCGACTATCCGACACCGACAGAGAGCTCGCCGAAAACGAAACGTTCATAGCTTTTTGGTAGTGGGGTCGACCAAAAGTGTAAGGACTTCAAATCGAAACGGCGGCTGGCAAAGAGATGGAGGCACAGAGAATACGACAACGATAAGACTCTTGGTGAACAGATAAACCCTCCTCTTGATTTTTGTGACTATTTCTTCGCGAAAAACATTGATCAACAGTTTCCGGCCGTATATTAAATCCGACATTTCCGCCCATTTATTGAATTTCAAAAATCTTTAATAAAAACCACAATGATGTTGCAAGGATGATTAAATGCCTCAAATTAACTCCGTTCAATCAAATTCTAATTATCCGACATTTACAAAATTCCGTATAAAGCAACACTCATAAAACATCTAAATTTCTAGAAGTTTATTCTACAAAAAGTGTAAATATTTACCCACTCATTAAAACTATGATAAGATGTTTATTTGAACATCACTGATAAGAGACGAAACATTTTTAAAAGTACGTTATGCAAATCTTATACAATAAATTTACCTGAGACACCATTATTAGAAGTGAATTTTTATAAAGAATGCAAGATTAAGTGTATGAAAATTCGTTGTGAGAACGAGAGAATAAACTTGTTTTTTGATGGTATTGATAATGAAAAATATATACCATTTTGATAAGATATAAATACAGAACGCTTACTTTTGGGTTGAATAAATCGAATTTCATTGTTCGAATAGCTTATTTTGCGCCGTATATTGAACGAGAGAATGATAAGAAAATGCCTTTTAAGAGCCTATACATGATGCACATAACAATGATAATTTTAATAGCATTACGGTAGAAAGCATAGTCTAAGAAATGGGGTTTTTCGTGTAGAAGCTAAACTTTAGACTCTTCTTTTATATTACGATACTCAAACAATGTTGTCATTATTGTTTGCGCCAAAAACGTCACTTCAACCCACACATACATAACTGTGAACCGACGAATTTAAGAAATTTGAATTGAGCTGCCAGTTTTTCTCGTAAAGCAAAGTGAGTTAAAACCATTCGATTAAAAATTTGAACTGTAGAACTTTGAAAACATGTATTTACGGTAAGAACTCGTTTCTGGAGTAAACACAAATACTCGGCCCTTTCCTCGTGCACATTTTTTTTCACAAATCGAACACAATTTTGGGATTGCCATACGAGACACAAGGCGGCAATTCAAATTATAAAACAATCCCAAATTCATCCACCCAATACAATATTTTACTTACTTTGTGCATTTCTTTTGATTTGAGCAACACCAAAAAAAACGTTCCGAAAGACGCGAATGTAAAATATGAAATTTTAGTGTTTTACATTTGTTTAGACAACGTGTTGCTAGCCAATTTTTATATTGATTTTTAATGTTTGCCTTTTTTGTTTTGCATACACACAAAAATGAACATCGCACCTTTGCTTCAGCTTCGCTGATCGTTGAAAAGCATCCGACGCTCTCGTGCCTGGCCATATCGTCGACAACTTCGAACAGATCTGCAAGAAATGCAATATCAGCGAGCTAGAGGAGCCGTAAAACGAGCAACTGAAAAAAAAGACAGCGTTTTTCTACAAATTCTGATAAATCGCGCGCAAAACGAGATAGATCAAAAAGTCGACGAAATTCTAGTGACACTATCATGTTCGAATTATTTCTGAATTATTAATTTGAAAAAATACACCCGAAAACGGTATATTTAAGTTAGAGAAATTAAATTCAGAAATATGATTACTGTGAACAAATATGGTACTGTAATTGTGCAAAATCCGAAACAGAAAAATACGTCTAGTGAAGATCGATGTTTCTCTTTTTTTCAAAATATCACGACATTAGAAATAAAAAAAAAGATAGAAAACACAAAAACACAACGAAAATCATTGCGAAATGTGAAATACAATGTGTTCATATAAACTCGCCTAAGAAAACTTTCCAGAATTTCAAAAATTAATTGAATTCACTTTGAAAATAAATTTAATTCAGTTTGAAAATAACTGATCCACAGAAAAGTAATAAAAATATAGATTAAAAAATAAAGTTCGTCTAACTCGAACGCTGCTTGCTCATGCTCATCTGCTTCCTCTCACTTCATCGTTCTCTTTCTCTTCAAACACCCCATTTCTTTAAAAAAAAGTGATTCCAACTGCACGTATTCTGTTTTATTCAATCATGCAAACAAGTTGGGTCAATAAATAGTGTAAGTGAAAGAAAAGATTGTCGCCGAACGATATATAGCACAATATTAAAGAAAAACAGAAAAACTTTGGTTGGGATAGAAAAGTGAACGCATGTGTCAGGCAAATAAATAAATATGAACGTATAAATAATAAAACAATCATAAAAACATGATCGAAACGCGAAATTGAATAAGTAGCTTGAATAAATCAGAAGAACGTACAAGAACACCGTGAATAATTTAATAACACACCGTCACAAATCAATTTTTGATTGCACACGACTCACATTTGTTAAGGCTTAGTGATGCTAATAGAGATGACATCAAAAATTGAAAAAAAAAGTTAGGAATTTTTTACAATAGAACAACGTAGTTTGCTGGGAACAATCCCACTCTTCCATGAGCTTTTCCTTTCCACCATCCGGCATCAACCTCAAAATTTATTTTTTTTTAATTTGATTTTTAACTCTTACCTGCTCAATTTCTTCAATAATGTCATCAGGATCGAATGAGATTTCTGTATCGTCCGCGGCCTGATAATCCCATAATGCTTTCGCGGTGAGACCCGTTGCTTCAACAGCTGGTGGAAAGTCGTATTGATCGATTTGTGGAGCTTTCGGCTCTAAAATTTAATTTATTAGTTAAGCTAGTTTTTATTAAAATGAATAATTACCTTCTTGAATTTCTGGCGGAATATCGTATTGTGAGCTGATGTATGCCGGGGGCTCAGAAATATTAGAGAGCGCCGTTTTGACTGGCTCGGGCTCTGGGGTGTACTCAGGCACAACATCATATTGAGAACCATATGAAGGCTGAATGTAAGCCGACGGAGACGGAGCAGGTGGAGACGATGCGACAGTAACAGGAGCTGGTGGTGGTGGAGAAGGATCCGGTGGCGAGAATGTTGATGTCGGAGCAGTATCTACCGGAGGTTCTTCATAAGCCGTGTACACCGGTGTCGGATCTAAAAGAGCAATATTCAATGCTTTGCATGAAAATTAAATACTCACTAGGAAGAAGTGGCTCAGGTACATAAACATGTTTCGGCTCTTCTTTGACAGACCATGGCTTCTCAGGCTCACTGTCTTGTATTACCGGCTCTGGTTGTGGTGGTGGTGGTGCACTATTGGATGGTGTAGTGGAAACCGGTGGCCACTTCTTTGCGCCAGTACTTATTGGCTTCGGTAATGGAACTGATTGCGGACTCGTATTCTTGAACATTTCTTTTCGACTTCCAACCAATCCTGCTGAGATTAGAACAACAGTATTCGACGACGTCTTGTCCACTCCGTTACTAGACGCCTTCTCCTGAATTTGCAGCTTAGCGTGAATATCATCGGCAATCCGTTTGCGATCTTCTTCGAATTGCTTCTGTTTCATTTCATTAACCGACTTCTCCTCAGCAACACGACTAAAACGACTTTTAATTGTACATAAAATATTCATTCAAATCTATTCGTACCGCTTTTCTTCCTCGTTCATTTTGTTCCAGAATTCTTCTCGAGCCGACGTATTCAATTCAACATGCGGTTTGACCGGCTTGTACACAGAAGTAACACGATCAGGCTGATAATTTTCAGCTTTCGAATGAATTTCATCCGCAATCCTTTGTCTATCAGCCTCAAATTGCTTCTGTTGCTCTTCACGAGCCTTCCTTTCCTCTTCCTGCCGCCTAAAGCATTCATTATTAAATATTCATTTTAAATTCTGCTTACTTCTTTTCTTCTTCATTCATCTTACTCCAGAATTCATCTCTCGCCTTTCCACTGAGCTCAACATGCGGTCTGACCGGTTTGTAGACCGAAGTGACCTTCTCAGGCTGATAGTTTTCAGCTTTCGTGTGAATCTCACTAGCGATTCGTTGCCTATCAGCTTCGTATTGTCTTTGGGCCTCTTCTCGAGCTTTTTTCTCTTCAGCCATTCGTCTAAAACACCATTTCAATTCCACAACCCTAGTCAAAATATCACCAACCGCTTTTCCTCCTCATTCATTTTATTCCAAAACTCATCTCTAGCGTTCGGATTAAGTTCAATATGAGGTTTTGTTGGTTTATACGACGATTCAAGTTTTTCCGGAATGGAATATGAAGATTCCGCCTGCAATAGATATTTTATTTTTTGATAATTTAAATAATTATTTTTATCGTAACGCGCACGTCTCTAATTTGAACAGTAAGAAAAATAATATCGCGAAATATTTTCTTAAAAACCTCACATTTGCATTCGTATTTGTCGACGGCAATTTCGAGACTTCTTTTCGAATCGCATCAGGTTCAATATCAATTTCACTACGAGCGTGAAGAATTATATGAACGGTTTTCAAGAATCTCCGAAATTCTTCGGCGTGCGACGTTGTTGAGGCCAATCGTAAAGTTTGAACGCCTTCTCCTTGCTAAACAACTATTGTTGCCTTGGAAAATGAATAAAACAACAAACCCAATGAACAAGAACAATTTTAGGTAGGACATCACTACTTAATCGTACAGCAATCACACCAAATTGAAGTCGCCCAGAACTGAAGCTTTCAGCAAATTCAGAAAGTCCGCCAGCTAAAAAAATGAATAGATAATTTAACGAATGTCGTGAATAATACAACGCGTACTTCCTTGCTCGCCGACTTTCAACGTGTTCGAGTTTCCCTCATAATCAAAAATCACCCATTTATCTCCATCGGATGACTCGGTTGCCCTCTTATAGGCAGCCTCAATTTCACTTCGATGTGCATTATAATTGAGCGTCATCGCGCTGCAAAAAAAAAAACATCTAAATTAATTTCAAATCGAATAAATTCTCAAAACAATAAAATATAAATACGGGGATTTCAATAGAAAATAATAAAACTCAAAATACACATCTGGCGAAGATTTTACGACTGAATTGGTCGTTTTTTTTATCAAGACCACCTTTTCGGCCATTCGCCCTCCTCAAATTTCGCGCTATTTCACAAAAGTCAAACCGCGCCGCGTCACTCAAACATGTGGCGACAAAAATGAGAGCTCATTTTCTCACTGTTTTAATTGTTTCTCGACTAATTTCGGCTTCAATTTATAACTAATTTCTTGCCAACTATATTATTAATTGAATTGACCGCAAATTTTGATGTTTTCGACAATTTCATCACCTGAAACTAATCGCTTATGAAAAATTTATTGCAATTTCGAAATTAATATTATTTCGCCTGAATCAAAAGAAAATGAATACCAAAAATCTGTTTTCACCAATGAAATCGAAAAACATTGCACTTGATATACAATGTTATTACACATCAAAATGAAGTCGGCACGCAAAAAAAAAGTTTGCTTCTGATAGTGAGTCATCGTAATGATTGATCGCGTTGATGTGGATTTCGAACAAGAAAATGAAAATTGAGGTGGGAGGAACGTAAATGAACGGATCGGACGAATATAAACACAAACACCCATAAAAAGACACATTTAGCGAGGAAAAAGACACTCGAGGAGTGGACGCGCGCGTACATTCGTTATCCGGAACAAAACTCGAAGTTTTTTGTTGTTGTTGTTGTTTCTTTTTCTTCCGCTTCTGCTTCAGCGCGAATATTATACATTTTAAACGCGAGATCTCGACACAAGCGTTTTGTGAGGCAACGGCTTGAATGTGCGAGTGAATGAGTCATTAACAAGGGCCCCGGTCAGTCAGTCCTGTGTGATTCAGCGGCGCTTTCGACGCAACGAGACGCAGAAATCGCACCATTTGTCGAAACGTGGAGACAAACACACAAACAGTTACACACATATATGACAACAAACACTCAAAAATGGCAATGTTTCAAAACATTCATTCAGATTATTAAGAATATATTCCGATTACCAACTATTCTCAATTGTTTTCAATTGCGAATCGGTGAAAACGGTTAATCTGGGGCCTATTGCGGGACAATTATACCCCATTATTTGAAATTTCTCTACCGGTTTCAAAGGAATTAATCTTGACGTGAAACTTTTTTCGCGATATTAAAGACTATTTCAAATAGTAAAATTCTGGATATTGTTTGCTGGCCTAATTTCCTTAAATTTTTCAAAGACAGTGAATTTATAAAAAGAAAAAATTAAGCGTTTCTTTCGATACAAAACATTTAGCACGTATTTCCAAACAGAAAAAAAAACAACAGAAAGATTCGAAAGACGGCAGAAATGCAAACATTTCAAGTCCGGGAGCAGCACATCCTTGAAAGAGCAAACAATCAATGAGCCAATCGGTACACTCGCACACATATGTGTTTTGTAACAAAAAAAGCGGTGAAGAATATTTGAGTAAAAAATATATATATGAAATATGCTGAAAAAGACAGCGATGAAATCAGCAAACTCAACGAGAAACAATTACGTTTTATTTCAAGAAAAATCAGTCATTTATAATTTGATGATTTACACATTCGATAAAATCAAGCATTCAATCAAGGAAAACCAGTAGAAATGAAGAGAAGAACACGGAAAAAATCACGATGACTCACCGGTGACCGAACAGGGCAGTATGAGGAAATGATGATGGTGATGATAATAATAGAAGAATGATTGAATTGAAATGAGAAAGTTATATTAGGTAAAAGAATCAATTGTTGGGAGTTTCGAAAATAAGAAAACAGCGAACGAATGAATTGATTAGGAAGAAATGAGTATGACACGAGTTGGCTCAGTTCCACTTGCAAAGAAGGTATGTCGTCGGAACAAATCCCTCTTCGCCAGAATTTGGTCTGAAATATGATATTTGCAAAAATAACACGCGCAACCTGAATAAATGGAAAATAAAATGAATTGGACGCACTTTTTGACTTTCATCCATCCATCGCCTTCATCGTCTCCTATTATTACTAACTTCTCCCCTTCAACTATCGATATTGTGCCGTATGTTGTGCCCGAAAACGTGAAAAGAACTGACGCGGTTCCCTTTTCTTTCCGATTCTCGTTCATCGGCGGCGATTCAGTGCGTTTCGACGCATTCTCCGACAAACGTAAAGGCGAACCTAACATCAAATTGTACAATTATATATGAATAAACTTTTTTTCAGTTTCACTTGAACTTCGAAGGAACGGCGATGAAATTTCTTTCGTTCTTAGCGGAGAAGATGTCACCTTATGAGTTCGGGGTGTCGAACAATTTGATAATCCCGATTGCGGGCGAATCACTCGTCTAGGCGACGGACTATTGCTCGCCTCGTTCCCCTCAAAATGGAAGTTTCGAAACCAACATTTTATATTGTGCCTACTGTACTAAATTCTCCAGAATCTCCAAAACTGATTCGAGCAATCCGATCACTTATGGGAGAGCCAAACTAAAAACAAAATACGGTAAAAATACAAATATAAACCAAATATGATCATCTTGTTACCAATCCAGGATTAATATCTTCCATGGTGTTCGTTTTCGATGAGGCATTCGTAGAGTATCCGGAAACCGATCGGGTCGTGTCGGGTGTTGTCAAATCTCGACCACCAAGACTTCTTTCATCGCCATCACCAGCTGAATCATAATTATATGATTTTCCAGACATTCTGATACCTTCGACAACCGCCGCTTCAATATTATCATACAACTTTTTCAACTTTTCGATGCGACATGATAGAATTTCGATTTGTTTCGCATGTTCAATTAGCTGCTCGTCGCATTCCGAAGGGTTTCCTAATTTCGAATTCTCACGATATGCGTTTTGCAATCTGCAAAATTTTAAATAATTCCTAAATATTATTATCATATGATCACTTGTTCAGCCCTTCTCGGCCCTGCATCAATTTATCAAGGTCTCTTTCCAATTTTTGAATTTTCGTGTTGAGGCAGGAAAGACGAACGTTCGGTGGGTAATGACTGTATTCTTCCTCATCGATGTTCGGCTACAAATAGAATTAATTGACAAAGAAACATATAAAGAAACGAACATTTTCATATTTTTTTTCTTTCGTCCAGAATTTGCTCTTCGCATGCCGCTTTTTCGAGCCACCATCTGGACTGCTAATCTTCTTTTTCACGTTTTGGAATTGCAGAATTAGATTGTTCAGGCGATTTCCATCTGTTTCGTCTGAAATTCAGATAATATCAAACTCTAAATCTGCCAAATTAGAAAGTTTTTTAATGATTAGAAATGTTTTAAAGAATATACCAATAGGTCTATTTTCAGCATTACTCGGATCGCCATAATCCTCGAGTTGGAAACATTCAGGAATTTCTATTTGCGACCTAAATAAACGAAATGCACAATTTAATTTTAAATATTTAACTCCTTTACTCGACACATTCAAGAATTAATTGAGCATCCGCTTTTGGATTTATATGATTTATGCATTGCTGCATTGTGTTATGACAGGCAGCTGGAACAATCACTTTTGAGCTTATCGGCTAATATTATTTTTTTTTAACCTTGACTGAGCCCAGCAGTTTGGTCAATTTTTAGGCATTTTTGAAGGATGTCTTTCATATCGAAGACGCGTTCTTCCTCGAGTAATTTGAATCTTCCGTACACCATTGGCAGAAATTTTTCGAAATATTCCTTTTGTTGGTTATTCGCTGTTTCCAGAGCATCTGCATATTGCTTCTTTGCTTCTTCGCACATTTCTCGTTTCAACTAAATGTTTTAAATTCATCGCATTAAAAAAAAACTGTGAACAAAAAACATTGGCATGTGTACGCGTTTTTTCGAGCTCCAATCGTGAAATTTCGAGATTTTTGTCGGCTTTTGCGAATTTTGTATACGCGTTTTCAGCTTCCTTGAAATTTTTTCTGTAAAATTTAGAGAGATGAGCTATATTAAATATTTTAAATTCCTACATATAATTCTTTTTTGCCTTGAACAAATCACCAACAACTTTATGTAAATTTTCGTCAATCGTTGATAAATCGTTCATTGCCTGTTTTCTAGTGCTCCGATGTTGAACTGATTTTGAGAGAATAAACGAGGCAACATCATTTTTCAATGCTTCACTTATATCCTGAATAACAAAGTGACATATTGCAGCTAGTATGACGATATTGTAAATGTTTACTGACAACGTGTAATGAAGCAATTTGTTCCATTTCATGAAGAACGCCATGAAACCCTTTAACGAATGTTACAGATTTCCAGATATCGTCATCATCGATTTTCTTGATAGATCGACGAACAAGCGACCTCAAAATGACATTGAGTAAAGAATTCGAATATGGTAATGTACTTGAGCTTTGATGCATATTCTTCTTCGATCGCAGCTCGTTCTTTCGCAAATGAACCAATTTTCTCAAGAAATTCGATTCCGCGAAGTGCATGACTCGAAAGCGAATTGGAATGATCCTAAAAATCTATCATCACAAAAAATAATAATATACGTTATATACCTGGACGGAAAATAATTTCGATACAGGAATCATACCTTGCACAGTGAGAATAATGTTATTAGCATGAGAATCTAATATTAACTTGTTGTTGCTGAATATGTCATATTTTATATTTTATCGGTTTAAAATGCGTTGAAATTAAAAAAAAATGAATTTAATTTTTCAAAAATATATAATCGTCAGCGTCACACGTTGAAAAAGTTGATTAAAACGGAACACGCAAAATAAAAATTTGAAATAAATTTTTCGAGTGTTGAATTGATACGGTTTACAAAAAGTCCGCAATGTTTACCGTAACATGATCTTATTCACAAAATCAGGCCTAAGATGAAGCTTATAATATTATAAACTTTTGATTTTTGCAGAAAATTAAGTTCTTAAAATCACGAAATTTACATAAAATTAGCCCACTAAATATATTTCAAATTAAAATAATATTTTTTTTATTTTATCTTCATGCATGATTAGCAAAATGTTTCGGTTGATCTTTCTTTAATCAGCATATTGTGATCTATCTCGTTTGATCTTCTCAATTGATCTCTATTGCTCGCTTGAATTTTTTTCAAATCAATATTCGCAATGCGTTTATTTTGAAATCGTTTGCTCACAATTATGATTCGTAGAATTAAGCGCCTCTTTGGATTCACGGTAATTCCGGTTAAACAAAAAAGTTTAAATTCAATTTTTTTAAAGGCCCGAGGCTCTTATTTTCCACATGACGATGTTCTGCCAGATGATAATGGAATAATCGCAACTCCTAGCAGAAAAAATGTGAAAAGCGACAAAAAAGAAAAAAGCAAGAAGGCATTAAAGTCGAAAAAAAGTGCGCCGGCAGCCCTTATAACTGACGGTTTGTATTTCTAGAAGACGAATAAAGATTATATTTTTAATTAACGTTTGAATACATTTAAGATAGAGAAACGACGTTTTTGCCAAAGTCTGCTGCAAATCAAACCGTTCCTGAAATTATAATTGGAGGTGACGATTCTCTTCATCATTCCGAATGTGAAACAAATGCAGCAACTGATTCTTTGCCGTATCGCGAGCCCAGTGATAGTGAGTTTTTTCCAATAACCAAATCATTTCATCCAATTTATTACAAACTTGAATGAATATAAGCAAATTACTTGAAATATTCCCGTATTTCAATCGAATGTATTACATTAGCAATAAAAGAACAGCCTGTGTCGATTTACGGTTAGTTAGCTTCGCAGGTTATCCTTAGTACGGTATTCGAATTTGAATTTGAATTACCGCCTCGAAAAAGTGCGATGATCCACAATTATGCAGGGAGTTTTTTTTAAATAGTTTATTGCATTTAAGAGTCACAACGCTTCACGAATTCACGTTCGAGTGCTGCCCCATCGTCAGTTCGAGGTTTTTTTTTTTTTGAAAAATTTCAATTTTACAATCTTAAATTATATTTAGAAGCTGCCTCGAATCGAAGCCTTGCTGGATCTGAAACGACGAAATCTCTCGATGTGAATCTAAAAGGAGAAATCTCCAAAAATGGCTCGTACGTCGATTCGGAATATTCAACTGAAACTAACAACGACGAGGTTGCTTCTGTTTCATTTTTGGCATTTCAGTTGTACGCTTTTAGCAATCAAGACTTTGTTTCAGAAAACAGAAAATGATGGTCCAAATTGTGCCCAACTTGTAAATAATGTAAATGCAAATCCTAACTTTTTCTTCACGAATATCATTTTTTTTAGGAAAGACTTGTTGATGGAGGAATTTTGGAGCCTCCTCACGATCCTTATTCGCAAGCTTCTTTGCTTTGCGTGAATACACCCGAAGTTCCAATCGAATTTGGTACAGCCGAAGAATTCAAGCGAGAAGAGAACAAATTCAATATGAGCACTTCCAAAACGGATGTGGAAATGGAGAGAAAAATTCAAGAGGTCATTTTTGGAGGGAAAACAGATTTAGACAATATTTTCAGATGAATGAACAATTGGAAGACATTTTAAAGAAACCGGCGCCATTCAATGTATCGACGGCTCGTCTTCCGGCTCTCAAGACATTTGCTGACCTTTCTTGTGATGATACCGTCGGCTCAGACGATTTTGATGAAAAGAATAATTCAGTGACTCGAATTTTAAATTTGTCACACGAAGCTTCTTCAAAAACGCCGGAAAATAAGCATCTTCGCAGTTATGGCTACTAGAACACAACAATCTAGAACATTTTATTGCATGAATAACTAAATCATGAGTATTATTTCCACGATAAATTACTTTCTGTCATTGGTGGTTTTGCATTTAAGCTTTTCGAAAGAGTCTTGAAAGACTACCACTCGTGCGACCGAATTATCGGGGCCGCGAATTATTCGGTCACGGAACATTTCCTATTTTTATCTTAATTTTTATTCGATTTTTTTTAGAATATCTCGCCGATTTCTTCTAAAACCCATTAATTTTATAAAAATAGTATTGTCGAAGTGGCGCACCGCGGAATATTGGCTAAATGCCAAAAAAAACAAAGACATCCGTCTTCTCAGGTAAATGAAAATCAATCGGATTCAAAGAAAAATGAAATATAAATTAACCCGATTCGATTAAAAAATAATTAAAATTCGATTGAGAAAGTGTTTAAATTCGATTTGAAATTTTGGAATAATTCGAAACAGATTAATTTCCATTTGATTTAGATTGAAAAAGAAATTATTTTCGAACCCGATTGATTTTCATTTACCTGACAACGGAGGTCATTTTGCTGTCCGTCTTAAATTTTTTTTATTTTTTGCATTCAGATTCTTTAGAAAATTTCCAATCGAATGAACTAGGTCCCTACCTGCGCAAACTTCTAGTTATCGAGATATGGACCTTCAAAGTTTTAGCCCTTCCCCATGTGAATTTTGCTCGGTAAATCACAGCGGACACCGCGCGGACGCTCAACGGACGAGCAGCAGCGTCAGAGCGGACGCCGCTGTGCTTCCGATATGCGTCCGTCGGACGATATCGTCCGCGCGGATACCGTCATTCGTCCGCGCGGTATCCGATATGTGCGTCCGCGCGGTGTCCGCGAATTTTCGATCATCGGCGTCCGCTCTGACTCTGCTGCTCGTCCGTTACAACGTCCGCGCGGCGTCCGCTGTGATTTACCGAGTTGCATACAAATGTGCGGAAACTCGAAATGAAATAACGTGATGTCTTATCTCGCGCTTATATCCAAATTCGGCAAGCAGTTGTGGTTTAGTGGTGTGTCGGTTACGTTCTCATCGTCCGACGGACGCATAGCGGACGCACAGCGGCGTCCCCTCTGAGGACGTTGTAACGGACGAGCAGCAGAGTCAGAGCGGACGCCGATGATCGAAAATTCGCGGATACCGCGCGGACGAATGACGGTATCCGCGCTGACGATATCGTCCGACGGACGCATAGCGGACGAGGGGGTTATCTCGGTAAATCACAGCGGACACCGCGCGGACGCTCAGCGGACGAGCAGCAGCGTCAGAGCGGACGCCGCTGTGCGTCCGATATGCGTCCGTCGGACGATATCGTCCGCGCGGATACCGTCATTCGTCCGCGCGGTATCCGATATGTGCGCCCGCGCGGTGTCCGCGAATTTTTTCTATAGAAAGTCGTCCGCGCGGCGTCCGCTGTGATTTACCGAGTATCACAATAGAAGACTGCATTTGCTGCTCGCAAAAACTTCGACGTCCAAAGTTGTACGAAACCGGTGCAACCGGCAGGAATTGTTTCGGTCTTCAACATGTTGTTTCGAGAACTCTGGAACACAACTTCTTGGGGAAGCCTTCTCATCAAATCCTTTGTCATGACATAATACGGTCAAATATGTCACCCAGAAAAAAAGATTCAAAAATTGCTCCAGTACAGTTAGACAGCTAGTGAAAATCTTTTATTGAAGCCTTCTATTGTGACAACCATTGCTCCAAGCATTTCATGATCAACAACCACATAACTTATAAAAAATTTTTCAATTTTTTAACATTTTTTTAAAACCATTTTTTTCGTATTCATGACCTTTCAATATGATGAAAATGGTAAATTTGAATAGAAAAACGCAAAATTGCACTGTCATAATCTCGGTAAATCACAGCGGACGCCGCTGTGCGTCCGCTATGCGTCCGTCGGACGATGAGAACGTAACCGACACACCACTAAACCACATCTGCTTGCCGAATTTGGATATAAGCGCGAGATAAGACATCACGTTATTTCATTTCGAGTTTCCGCACATTTGTGTGCAAAATTCACGTGGGGAGGGGCTAAAACTTTGAAGGTCCATATCTCGATAACTAGAAGTTTGCGCAGGTAGGGTCCTAGTTCATTCGATTGGAAATTTTCTAAAGAATTTGTATGCAAAAAATAAAAAAATTTTAAGACGGACAGCAAAATGACCTCCCTTGTGAGACTAAAAGTGTAGATTTACGGGCATATGTATGTATAAGGATAGCTTAAAGGCGCACACCACGCCCCGACACTTGCCGACACCGACGACATTATTTTTAGAATTTGAAAAAAATGCGAAGATCGTTACGGACCGATGAATTTGAAAATTTGAATTGTACAGGCTGTTAATAGATCGCCTAGTCAAGACGCTCCTTTTTCTTTGGCGTTTTTTTTTCCATACGATACCCATAAATTGTTTTCATAATTTTAAAGTATTTTATTCTCAAATTGTTTTCATATCGATCGCTTTTCGATTTAAGATTAGCAACATTCGACACAGAAATCCTTATCAGCCATTTCTTTTCTATTTGCATTGTCGACGTCCCCTGATTGCGGAATATTTGCTAAATGGTAAAAAAATTCCGATAGGGGAGGGGTTTAACTTATCCCAATTTATTTTTTCTTGTATATATTTTTCTCTTAATTTTTCTCGAAGATCGTTATTTCAGATAATTGAAAACCAATCAGATTCGAAGAAAAATGAAATCTAAATTAACCTTATTTGATTGAAAAATAATTGAAATTCGAATGAGAAAGTGTTCATATTCGATTTGAAAAAATACTCAGAATTCTTCGAAATCGATTGATTTATTTCTCATTTCAATTTTGACATCGTATTTATTTTTTTTAATCATTCGAAACCTAAAAATTATCAGCCTGATCGTGTATCTTCCGTGTACAAGCCGGCAACGCGATGACTCTCGATTATAATGAACATCGAAGAGAAATTGAGGCTGCCTATAAGAGGGCAACCGAGTCATCCTATGGATATAAATGGGTGATTTTCGATTATGAGGGAAACTCGAACACGTTGAAAGTCGGCGAGCAAGGAAGTACGCGTTGTATTATTCACGACATTCATCAAATTGTCTTAATTTTTTAGCTGGCGGACTTTCTGAATTTGCTGAAAGCTTCAGTTCTGGGCGACTTCAATTTGGTGTGATTGTTGTACGATTAAGTAGTGATGTTCTACCTAAAATTGTTCTTGTTCATTGGGTTTGTTGTTTTATTCATTTTCCAAGGCAACAATAGTTGTTTAGCAAGGAGAAGGCGTTCAAACTTTACGATTGGCCTCAGCAAGGTCGCACGCCGAAGAATTTTGGAGATTCTTGAAAACTGTTCATATAGTTTTTCACGCTCGTAGTGAAATTGATATTGAACCTGATGCGATTCGAAAAGAAGTCTCGAAATTGCCGTCGACAAATACGAATGCAAATGTGAGGTTTTTCTGAAATTCTCCCGCAATATTATATTTATTACTGTTCAAGTTAGAGACTTGCGCTTTTTGATAAAAAAATAATTATTTAAATTCTCAAAAAATCAAAAATCTTTATTGTAGGTGGAATCTTCATATTCGATTCCGGAAGTACATGAATCGTCCTCTAAACCAACAAAACCTCATAGTGAGCATAATCCGAACGCTAAAGATGAAATTTGGAATAAAATGAATGAGGAGGAAAAGCGGTTGGTGATATTTTGACTAGGGTTGTGGAATTGAAATGGTGTTTTAGACGAATGGCTGAAGAGAAAAAAGCTCGACACGTGAAAGAAAAGCGGTACGAATAGATTTGAATGAATATTTTATGTGCAATTTAATTGCGTTTTAGTCGTGTTGCTGAGGAGAAGTCGGTTAATGAAATGAAACAGAAGCAATTCGAAGAAGATCGCAAACTGATTGCCGATGATATTCACGCTAAGCTGCAAATTCAGGAGAAGGCGTCTAGTAACGGAGTGGACAAGACGTCGTCGAATACCGTTCTAGTCTCAGTTTTACCATCCAATAGTGCACCACCATCATGCACCATCATGCAAATCATTGAATATTCTTCTTTTAGGTCCAACTCCTGTGCGCATGGACTTTTCCGCATCCTTTCCACCTGCTCAGGTATATTCTCTTATATTATGGCCTTAAGAAATCGCAAAAAGCGGTTTTTTTTCCATACGATACCCATAGGGAAAATTAAAAAAAAAATTTTTTTAATTGTTTTTCATATCGATCGCTTTTCGATTTAACATTAGCAACATTCGACACAGAAATTCTTATCAGCCATTTCTTTTCTATTTGCATTGTTGACTTTTTTTGCGGAATATTTGTTAAATGGTAAAAAAATTCGATAGGGGAGGGGTTTAACTTATCCCTATTTATTTTTTTCTTATATAATTTTTTCTCTTAATTTTTATCGAAGATCGTTATTTCAGGTAAATGAAAACCAATCAGATTCGAAGAAAAATGAAATCTAAATTAACCTGATTTGATTGAAAAATAATTAAAATTCGAAAGTATTTCGGTTAAAAAAAACTCGGACATCTTCGAAATCGATTGATTTTCATTTATCAAAGAAACCTGCAAAGAAATTATGCAGCGATGACATCATCGAAATAAGCGCTTTATTTCCTCGAAATAAGCGCTTTATTCTAATGAGGGTGTACTGTAGTCGCCGCCCGATACTTAAAACGAATCCACATGCTCCTTTAAATTGTTTTCGAAATTTTTTCTAATTAAAATGTTTATTTTTTTCTCGATTTTTCCGCTTTTTTATAATTTTTATTTTCTTGTTTAGTGTGAATAACATATCTTTTTCGTCATTTCTCCGCTTAAATTTTTCAAAAACTATTCTTTAAGGGAAGGGAGTTAACCTTCAAAACTATAAAATTATCAATGAAATTAGACGATAAATCGAAAAATTCAAAAACATACGAAATTTCTAAGTTAATTTGTCGCGGAGAAAAATCGATCGTGAAGAATCAGTTTCGAATCTTCTTTGTGTTGGGGAATTTCCATAAATGAGCATGTCGCGTGTTTACACCGAATGCATTTTATCTTTCGAATATATTTAAACGTGTAATTTTCACGTAATTAATCATTTTTATACTAAATTTTTGATGTTCCAAGGTCTTAAAGATGCGTACGAATAAAACATTGTCCAGGAATATCGAAAATAAGCAAAATTGAAATAATTGCGGATTGCATTTTATTTAACGAAAGAACACATGTTGCTTACTTCGTCATCGAATTTCCTCGCGATGAATAAACGTCGTAATTTCTTTATTTTTCGCTTTCTTACTATAGTGTAAAACTAGTTAATTTTTAACTCGGTCAACTGGTCAAAAAGCTGAACAGTTCACAAAAAGAAACCACGAAGTGGTTACATCGACAGTCGGTTAACCAGTTTGTTGCAAACAATGGTTAGCTAGTTAAACAGTTTACTGGTTTCGAAAATTAACCGGTTAACCATTTGATTGAAATAACCGGTTCCGGAAATTAACCGGTTAATTTGGTCAAACGGTTAACCAGTTCGTGAACTTTTGAACTGATCCGTAGATTTGTAAAAGAAAATTCAAATTTTTTGACTTTCTCGAGAAAAATTTTCCGAAACTTTCACGGTAACTTTTTTAGTGAACAAAAAAACTTTTTTTTTCTCCTTTATGTTCGTTTCAATACAAAGTTAAAAGTGATTGATATGCCACCTAAACGAAATGCTCACATTACGCATCAGATAAAGAAAGAATTTAAACGAATGAAGATATTTCCTACATATAGTCGGCGTCCGGCGACTGCTGTACGCGGGTAGATTTACGGGAATGCGTCTTTCGAAATGGTCTCGCACGGACTAACAGGTTATTTCAAATTTGTTTACCGGTTCGATAATTTTTTAATCGAATATCGTTGGAAATTCAAGAAAATGCAAAAATCATCAAGAAAAATGAAGCAGTTCACGTGAAAACAGCAAAATAAGCATTCACGCGTGGCGAGACTTTATAAAGGCGCATGCGCGTAAATCTACCCGCGTACAGCAGTCGCCGGACGCTGACTATATTTGTGTATATTTTCGAAACTAAAAAATAGCTGTTTCCTGTTTCGCTTTAACCGCGACGCATACGCGTCGCGTTTCGGAATACGACCATCAAGAAAGTCCAAACATCGACATCGTCTGATAAATTTAAAAAAACTTACTTGATTTGGTTTTTCTTTTACAAATCTACGGATCAGTTCAAAAGTTCACAAACTGTTTAACCGTTTAACCAAATTAACCGGTTAATTTCCGGAACCAGTTTACTGTTTAACTAGTTAACCATTGTTTGCAATAAACTGGTTTTTTCGATTAACCAGTTAATTCTAAATAATTATTCAATCGAATTATCCAGTTAACCGCCTTAACCCGATATATTGAACCGGTTTTACACTATGTTTCTTACCTATTTTTCATTGTAATTTTTATACGTACTTTAAAGCTATCCTCCTCATTAAAGGTTTTTTTGGCACTCTGAAACTCTTTTGGCAAACGCTAAAGTGACGTTTAAATTGAATTCAGTATTGCCTAGCATAATTATATTCAATTATTCAATTTATACAGATTGATTTGACGTGTATTAGAAGAGTTTGTGAAGACTTTCAGACATTACGAAGTTTCTAAAAAGTCTAATGAACGTCTACGTAAACTCTGCACGACATTATTATATACGCTGACTATAACATATATTATAGATTTTCAAATTTCTGACAATTGTAGGTTGTCAATAATATTGGCGCCTCGATATTGATTGAGAGCAAGCAATGGGAAACTGTATCGGAAAAACCGGAGGATTTCTCTGTTGTATCTCGGTATGTTTTATTTTAGTAGCGAAGTTACGTAAATGCGGAAAACTGGCTAGATGCCAAAAAATGACAGTCGTATTTGTGACGAAGCGGAGCGGCTCTGACGAAAAATTTTACAGTGCCGCTCGACACCGCTTTGAAATTCTCCACAATAATTGTTTCAACTTCGTAAAAAAAAAACACTTACCAGTCCTCCTGGCGCAGATCTAAAATAGATTAAAGGAGCACATCGTGCACTAAAAAATACGTTGCCTACATTCTTTTACCATTTGGCAAATTTTCCGCAAACGTTGGTAATATGAATTGATATGAAATGGCTGCAATAATTAGGATAAATTTCTCGAATTGAAGAGAATCACTTGCGTCAATTTTCCTATTTATTTGTTTATGGACCATACATGACCATGGTTACACATGCAATGCAAAAATTTAAAGGACTACTCATCAATTATGGAATAATTGAAAAATCATATTTAATGCCATTTTTACATTTAGCAGAAGAGAGGAAATCCCGAAATACCGCAGATAGATTTCAGTGGAAACGTGAACGATGAATGCACAAATAAGAATGAAAAGAAGAAACGGTACGAATAGCTTCGAATAAGTATTATATAGAATATTCGCAAAGAAAAACGAGCGCGATGTACGGTGGGCTCGCTTTAAGCAGGTTATCCGCAGTAGCTACTCGAATTCCCGCTCTTTACAATCAAATTTGAATTATCGTCTCGAAAAGTGCGATGGTTCACAATTATGCATAGCGCTCGTTTTTTTTGTGACGGTGATAATCTATTGTTTATTTTTGCCCGGCAAGACTATTCTCATTGTTTTTTTTCACTTCGCCAATTTTTCGTAGTTGCGCGACCCCGACAATGATTCTGTTTTAGTATTGTAACCATGCCAGCAGCGCCTGCCAGAGAAGTGCCGAAACATGTTTATGTACCCGAGCAACGTCTTCCTAGTGAGTATTTAATTTTCATGCAAAGCATTTAATATTGTGAAATCGAACCTCTGGTAGATACTGCTCGGATTCCACCACCGACATCAACATTCTCGCCACCGAATCCTTCTCCATCACCACCAGCTCCGCTCTCACGTGGTTCTCAACACGATGTTGTACCTAAGTACACCCCAGAGCCCGAGCCATTCAAAACGACGCGCTCTAGTATTTCTGAGGCCCCGGCATACATCAGAACTGAATACCATAAACAACAAATCGGTGGTGAGATTCATTCGAAAGCTGAAAATTATCAGCCTGATTGTGTTACTTCTGTGTACAAGCCGGTCAAACCGCATGTTGAATTGAATACGTCGGCTCGAGAAGAATTCTGGAACATTAACGAGGAAGAAAAGCGATACGAATAGATTTGAATGAATAGTATACAATTAAAAGTCGTTTTAGTCGTGTTTCTGAAGAGAAATCTGGTAATGAAATGAAACAGAAGCAATTCGAAGAAGATCGCAAACGGATTGCCGATGATATTCACGCTAAGCTGCAAATTCAGGAGAAGGCGTCTAGTAACGGAGTGGACAAGACGCCGTCGAATACTGTTCCAGTCTCAGTTTTACCATCCCATAGTGCAACACCATCATGCACCATCATGCAAATCATTGAATATTGTTTTTAGATTCAACTCCGGTGTACACGGCTTATGAAGTACCTCCGGTAGATACATCAACATTCTCGTCACCGTATCCTTCTTCATCACCACCAGATCCGCTCTCATATGGTTTTCAATACGGTGTTGTGCCTAAGTACACCCCAGAGCCCGAGCCAGTCAAAAGGGCGCGTTCTAATATTTCAAGAGATGAATTCCGGAATAAGAAGAATGAAGAAGAAAAGAAGTAAGCGAAAATTTAAATAGATATAAAAAAAACATACGGTATTTAATGATCTCACGAGAAAGCTGTTTTCATTCGAATTGGTTGAGCCAATTTTGAAATCATTTTTCGAGTAGTGTGAATAATACTTTATAACACGAAATTATAAGATGCGATTCTCAAAAAAGAAGTAATATTGAAATTAATCTTCGATTCCCATGTGAGTTTGAAGGAAATTGTTGATGTTGATTTTTCCGTCGGTCGCTTCAAGTCCATAAAGAAGCGAATCGACCTCTTGTGATGTCATTTTTTCTCCTTAATTGATACTAAATTCAAATTAATATTTAAAAGAGAAACCAGTGTTTTGCAACATATGGCGTAATTCAGCGACAGTTATTTGCCCATTTCCTTCACGATCGAAATGAGATAGGAGTGTCTAAAATATATAGATGAGAGAATGATGCTCTTAAAAAGTTTTATTACCTGAAACTCATTCAGAGTTGAAGCACGCCCGCATTCTTTCGCCATATTCTTGTAAATTGGAGTAAATTCTTGAACCGAAATTCGGGCATCTAGAAGCTTTTTAATAATTTAATTGCTGATATGTATTCACAAACTACCAGGTGTCTTTTCCCATTGTTTTGTCATTTTCTTAATCATTTGCTCTGTTGGATTTAGCATTAGAGCACGAATAGCATGTGGAAGCTTAAATGTATTTAAAACTTTAAAAGATCAAATGAATAAACAAATTAAAAGGCTTAAAATTATTTTTCAACGTTTGAATGGCTGGCGCATATTTGATTTTTCTGAATTTTGTTTTGAATATTGTAGAAGATGGGCGAAGTTGACAAATTTGAATGATCGTTAGCCATTTTTGATCTTAGCGCGAAATAAAAAAATTTTTTCAATCTCTTTATCTTTTATATCAATCAAGTAATTGAAACCGCACGTTTGAATATGATCTCCTTCAAGACCTGTTTTTTTTTTTGAGAAATTAAACTTTACTGAAAGATATGCCTTATGGAGCATGCATAGACATTAGAAATCAGTTTCACGATCGACTTATATCGGTAAGTTGCATTTATAGTCTGTTTTTAACAAAAGCAAACCTGCGATGCAGCAATTTTTCCATCGCCTACCGTATCGTAGAAATGGAAAATATCTTGAATATCTTCGATTGGAACGCTCATTTTCTAAAATAAAACATAAATTTCCCAAAAAAAGCGACTAGAAACAATAAAAAAAAACGGAACACATGGAAATGACAGGGTAACAAATAAGAAATAATAAAAACGAAGGCGGCACATTGATGATGAATCATCGCACGATGACGCCTTCGTGAATGTCAATTTTAGGCTTGTGCGGCGAGTTTTCTAACAACAATACAATTGTTGTGAAATAGGAAAAAAATAACAATTTTTGACTATTTTCCTCTCAGGAGCAAGGCAATTTGGCCAATGAGGATTCATAAATTGAGCTAAAATATAATTGAGACGAATTTGTGAATCGCACCCAAAAATTAAATTTAATTAGTTTCTTTACTAGTCCAAAATATGAAAATATGGTCTTGCAATGAATAATCTAAAACAATTGTACTGTTGTATGGAAATACAAAAAATGTAAAGAATGCACTAATTTTTACATTCCTAATTGGGTAAATTGTATGTGTGATTTTTGATTTTATTGTAATTTTTGATTACGTTCATTTTTCCCTTTTCTTTTAAGTCTACTAAGTATTATCTTCCAGAGGTTCCATTTCGATAGTGGATTGAAAATGATAAAGCGTCGCTTATCGATATAGCCCTAAGTTGTAACGAGTCCGCTCATTTCGCCCTAAGACCCAGCGCGAAACAGGGGAAAGATTTACTGACTAGATTCTTTCGCAGATTCGCCCCGATACGCTTGACATTGTCACATTGCACCAAAAAATCTCCAGATTTCAATTTCGCCCGCTGTGCCGGTCCCCACACGAGTCGTTGTTTAATCAGTTTCTTGAAGAAATGAACTCGGCAATCGGTGCGGGGAAAAATGCAAAGTTTTTCACGCACTGCTGCCGAAAATTCATTGCGTTTATAATGGCCTGCAATGAATGGCCGACGCTTTTTCTATTTTGCGGCCATTCCGAAAGTCCCATGAATTGGGATGTGAGTTCCAATAGTTTCAAGTTTTATCAAATTGTTGCCTTCGCGTGAGGTCATGTTAATTTTTATCTGCACGGGCTCCTCCAGAACTAACTCTGTATTGTTCATTCGAAAATTATCAACAAAAAATTAAAAGACGAAAACACGTGAATACGGAGGCAGTGGACGTGAGAAATTTCGTCGCTTCTCCCGCAAAAATTATAGAGTATTCATTTTTTGCTTATTTTATTTATTTATAACAGAATCATATTGCCATAACTATTTTTTTTTAGAATGAACTCACTTCCAAAAGGAGTAATACGCTCATCGACGCTTAAAACTTTGAGACAGCATTGTAAGAAAAATTACTAATAATTAACAAGTAAAAATTTGTTAGTTGCCGAAAAAAATTTATTCGCCTCGAATAGTTTTGAAAGTTGGAAGGATGATGTGTTGAAGCGAGTCAGTGTTTGGCGTGGAGACATTTGCAAATTGGAAGTCGATGCGATCGTAAATGCAGCAAATCGATCCCTCGCCGGAGGCGGTGGTGTTGATGGGGCCATTCATAGAGCAGCCGGATATGATCGACTGCAAAGCGAATGTCGAAAGTACGGTTATTGCGATGTTGGAAGAGCTGTTATTACGTCTGGCTGTAACATAAGACACATTAAAAGTATTCAAATTCGAAATATTTCAAATTACGTTTGTTTTTTTTTTAGATATTATTCATACAGTTGGACCACAAGTATATGGTGTTGTGGGAGAAAAAGAAAAAAACGAACTCATTTCCTGCTATTCGTCGTCTTTAGAACTTGCCAAGAAGAATGGCTTAAAAACTATTGTAATTTCTTTGCTTTTATATTCGCTTCAATATGCTGTTTTGAGGCATTCTGCTGTATTTCCACCGGCGTTTATGGATACCCAAATGAGGATGCTGCGAAAGCCGTCACCGAGTTTTTGTCGAATTATTTGAAATGCGATCAAAACAATGATAAGGTTATTTCGATATTATAAAACAAAAACACTTAACTGTTATTTCAGATTGAACGAGTCGTGCTTGTCACTTTCTTGGATATAGACTACAACTATTATTTGAAATATTTTCGTGAATTTTTTAATCAGGAAGAAAAAAGTGCGTCAGCATCGACAGAAAAATTGGCTGGATGGCCTAGCAAACAGAAAAATTATATGCATTCGGGTGATGGAAACGAGACACAGACAAAAAAGAAAAAAGTTGATAGAGAAAGCTACTATTCATCTGAAAATCCATATATGGTAATTTCTGAAATGTTTTCTCGCTCATTTCTGACAATTAGCTGTTTCAAACCACGAAATGCGAATTTTTCAATTACCAAATGTATTTTTCAGAATTGGGACGATAGAAGAGCTCGACCACATTATGATTATTCTACTAAAAAAAACTAAACCAGCTAAGAGAAATACATAAAGAAGTATCAATCATTTCTACAAATTACGTTCTGATGTTGAAACTAAGCATGTTTTTTTTTATTTTTAAAATTTTGCATATATTTTGTCGAGATATTTATGATATAAACACTGATTCGCGTTCTTTTCCATCTAAACAGTTCCGCACGTTGAACGATGAATAGCTCAAATAAACTGATGCTATTCACGAAATCTACTCCTTACCAAAGCGAAAAAAAAAGAATAATTTTTTGCTCCCTTTTTTTTGCTCCCGCCCCCTTATTGTTGGCGCCCACTTTTGTTGCTCCCTTTTTTTAAAACGTTTTTGCTTCTACTTTTAAATGCTCCTTTAAAATAGGAATTCATTATAATCATTTCTGTATTTTGAAGGCCTACTACAGCCCACCCTGGGTTTTCCACCCCGACTCTTTCACCCACGGTTTTTATTTCCATACTACCCTGGTTTTCCCCCTATCGAAATAGAACAAAATGGCGAAACAGTAAATTTTTAGAGTTCTAGCGATCCATCCAAGAAGGCCACTGTAAGGTTAAACGAATATCCGTAGTGAGTCAATTGGAATATATGGTTAGATTTTGTTAGTAGTTTCCGTTAGTTTAATGAAAACAACTAAACACAGTTTTTACTCGGAAACATATTTATTAACTATTTTCATTATTTCGTTAGGTCATTTATACCGTAACATCTGTATAAAAATGGTATAGTTGGCGTCCGGCGACTGTTGTAGAGTAGAATTACGCACATGTCTCATTCTCCTGGTCTCGCGCGGACTAACTCGTTATTCTTGTGATGATATCGTCGTCTCAGACGATTTTGTTGAAAAGAATAATTTCAGTGACTCGAATTTTAAATTTGTCACACGAAGCTTCTTCAAAAACGCCGGAAAATAAGCATCTTCGCAGTTATGGCTACTAGAACACAACAATCTAGAACATTTTATTGCATGAATAACTAAATCATGAGTATTATTTTCACGATAAATTACTTTCTGTCATTGGTGGTTTTGCATTTAAGCTTTTCGAAAGAGTCTTGAAAGACTACCACTCGTGCGACCGAATTATCGGGGCCGCGAATTATTCGGTCACGGAACATTTCCTATTTTTATCTTAATTTTTATTCGATTTTTTTTAGAATATCTCGCCGATTTCTTCTAGAACCCATTAATTTTATAAAAATACAGTGCTCCACAAAACTATATACCCACCCTAATTTTGTCGAATAACTCGAAAACGCGAATAGCTTCAGAAATGGTTTCAATTAGAAAAATATGCGCATTTATTATTAGTTTCATGTACCATTCACGAAATTCAACAAAAAATAACAATTTAAAAAATTTCGTCATTTTCACGAAAAAGTGAAAAAAAATTTCCACAAAACTATATATCCACTTGATAAAAAACTCAGAAAAAGACAGCAAGATTTAGAATTTGAAAGAAAATGAACATTTAGTAATTAACTGGACCTCCATTGAGTCGTGTTACATCAAAAATTCGACTGTCCACTGATAAATAAAGTTTGTCAAGAAGCTGTTGATCGACAAGCTTCCAGGCTTCCACGATTGTTTTTTTGAGATCCGCAATTGAATGAAAAGATTTGTTGCCATTGTAAATCTTCTTCACCATAAATCCCCAGACATTTTCGATGGGGTTTATGTCTGGAGAACAGGCTGGCCAGTCGAGAACTGGGATTCTACGGCTGCGTATCCACTGGATGGTGCGGCGAGCGCGATGACAAGGAGCTACATCTTGCATGAAAGAGTAATTTTTGTGCCTATTTCGACGCCAAAATGGCAACAGACAACGTCTTATGACGTATCGGTAGTCAGAACCACTTATCTTCGGCGAAACGAAGCACAACTTGACTCTTCTATGCGAGCTGATTGCCGCCCACACCATGACGCATCCTCGTTTGAACTTTCTACGCGAAAACCGTAGCTTCTCTTTTCTCAAATCGTGCTAATAATCACGATAACCATCTGGCCCATCACAATTGAGCATTTTTCATCAGAAAAGACTACCTGAAGGAAGAAAAAGAGTTCAATGAACGTTGACGTTATTCTTATTTGTCTCCAGTCAGTTCGTTGATTCGTTTTTGCAAACTCCAGCCGTTTTTCACGATGTATTCGAGTCAACACTGGTGCCTTCCTCATTTTCCTGTGTTTGATGAAGGTGCTCTTCGATAAAACACGCCGGACGGTTTGATTTGTCAGCATGAGATTGAATTCCCTTCGAATCGTTGAGCACGACACGACCGAATTTGACGCTCCGCCGCAAAATTTTGCGCTTATCAAAATTTTGCGCTTTTGCGGTCCGGAAGCAGTGAAGGACGACCTGTCAACTTTTTTTGACCATATGCGGCTGGATTCTTAGCATATCGGCTAATAACATTATGAGTGCGTCCGAGATCATTCCCAATTTGTCGATAAGAGAGACCTTGGGCAAACGATTCCTCACTACCGATTTCTATCTCCACTACCAAATTTTCACTACCGAAATTATAGTTTTTTTCACTACCGTTTTTTCACTACCAAATTTTCTTATAGTCATTCTTCTTGATTTTATCAATAATCCATTTCATTTCAGAAAAAACGAGTTTAAAGAAAGTCTTTTTTTTTCATCTTTTTTATTAAATATTTAAAAAAAAAACTAAATTAATTTAATCTTTAAACGAATGAAAATTATTTTTTTTAAACGCTTTACAAGGAACAAAAAATATTTCAAAAATTATTCAAGGGGACAAACAATTATTATTTATATATTGAATTTTCCTAAATGCATTCCTAACTTGGAATACAACTTTTCCGTGTTGAAAATAATGTGAACAATATCTATAAAATATTGATAGAAATAACCTTGTTAATCAAACAAATAGAAAAAAATTTAAAAACAATGCACTTAGGTTGATATTCATGGCTGCGGACGGACGAAAATTTTGAAATATTGTTTGTACCTTAAAGTCAAAATTTAGCTGTTTTCTTAATATTTAATTTAAAAAAAAAAAATTTCTTTAAACTCGTTTAAACTCGTTTTTTTCTGAAATGAAGTGGGTTATTGATAAAATCAAGAAGAATGACTATTGTTGAAAAATGACAAATGTATCCAGGTGTCGTAGGATCCTGCGTTTTGTACGCAATGCTAAGAGACAGTTACCGTAATCCTCGCAGCGATTTACGGAGACTTTTTATTTAAATTTTTTTTTGTAGCTCTTCGCTACCAATTTTTCGCTCCGCTACCGGTTTTTCACTACCACATTTTCGCTCCCGAAAACATAGTTTTTTCACTACCGATTTTTAAATTTCTCAATTTCAAAAAAAGAAGAACAATTTACACAAATAAAAGGGTAGTCACTGAAAAGAGAGGTGGAGAGGAAATATAATATATGTGGGCCAATGATTCCTCACTACCGATTTTTCACTACCAAATTTTCACTACCGAAATTATAGTTTTTTCACTACCGATTTTGCACTACCGTTTTTTCACATTCGATTTTTCGCTACTGTTTTTTCACTGCCAATATTCTTATACTCATTCTTCTTGATTTCATCAATAATCCACTTCATTTCAGAAATAACGAGTTTAAAGAAAATCTTTTTTAATTAAATATTAAGAAAATAGCTAAATTTTATCTTTAAACGAGTGAAAATTAATTTAAAAAACACTTTACAAAGTACAAAAAATATTTCAAAATTTTCGTACGTCCGCAGCCATGAATATCAACCTAACTGCATTGTTTTTAATTTTTTTCTATTCGTGTGATTAACAAGGTTATCTTCTGTAACAATATTTTATAGATATTGTTCACATTATTAGCTATTTTCTTAATATTTAATAAAAAAAAAGATTTTCTTTAAACTCGTTTTTTTCGAAATGAAGTGGATTATTGATAAAGTCAAGAATAATGACTATAAGATAATTTCGTAGTGAAAAAACGAAAGTGCAAAATCGGTAGTGAAAAAACTATAATTTCGGTAGTGAAAATTTGGCAGTGAAAAATCGGTAGTGAGGAATCGTTTGCCTATATGTGACGCATCCTCTCCCGCTATAAAGCGGAAGGGGACCGTCACCCTGTTGATGCCCGATTGGCCAGCCAAATAATCACAACGTTCATCGTATTATCGGTAACTTTAAAAAAAATGTAGAAGCTGCAAGGCTTTCAAACTATTAATCTACTTGTCACGAACCCACTTCTAACGTTATTAAAGAAATTATTTCAGTTTTATCTAATTGCTAAGAGCTGATAGAAAATGATAAAGCTTTGCCGTCAACTAGGGATTTATTGACATAAAGTTTATCAATTTATTCTTTTTTCGATGACTACTCTTTTATTTGTGTAGATTGTTCTTCTTTCTTTGAAATTGAGAATTTTAAAAATCGGTAGTGAAAAACGGTAGCGAAAATGTGGTATTGTTGAGAAATAAAAAATGTATCCAAGTGTCGTGGGATCCTGCGTTTTGTACGCAATGCTAAGAGACAGTTACCGTAATCCTCGCAGCGATTTACGGGTTTTTTTTAAATTTTACATATTCATTTTTTTATTTTTCGCTCAATTTTGCTTTGAAATTTTGTTATTTAAATTTTGAAGAAACCGAGTTTAATAATTTCAGCAGAATAAGCACTTTTAAACGATATTTTTTTTTTGGTAAATCAGCAGAGATTTAAAAGAAAATGTTTTTGTCGTTAATAAAATTATTTATTCGTTTTTTGCTTTTTGTACGCATTTTTATTATCTTTTTTTTTGTATTCTTCATTTTGAAAATAATTTTTAGAGCAAAAATTCTTCACAATAATTCCCTACTCAACTGGACAAGTGGAAAAGTGCATATTCTGCAAAATAAATAATCAAATTCGGTTTCTACGGATTTTAAATAAAATATTTCTAAAGAAAATAAGAAAATACATCAAAAAAATTGAAAGAACATCTCCGTAAATCGCTGCGAAGATTACGGTAACTGTCTCTTAGCATTGCGTACAAAACGCAGGATCCCACGACATCTGGATACATTTGTCATTTTTCAACAATATAAGAAAATTTGGTAGTGAAAAAACGGTATTGCAAAATCGAAAGTGAAAAAACGGTAGTGCAAAATCGGTAGTGAAAAAGCTATAATTTCGGTAGTGAAAATTTGGTAGTGAGAAATCGGTAGTGAGGAATCATTGGCCAGACCTTGAGCCAGTTTTGCTTCAATTTCACCTTTTTCAAAGTCGGTGAGCGGCTTTCCACGAGGCATTTCTTAAAGAACAGTAAAATTGCAAAAAAGTTCGAAAATACGAAAATATACGAAAAAATATCGAAAAAAACGCCAAAAAAATGGGGGTGGGTATATAAATAGTTTTGTGGAAATTTTTTTTCCACTTTTTCGTAAAAATGACGAAAATGTTTAAATTGTTATATTTTGTTGAATTTTGTGAATGTGACATGAAACTAATAATAAATGCGCATGTTTTTCTAATTGAAACCATTTCTGGAGGTATTCGTGTTTTCGAGTTATTCGACAAAATTAGGGTGGGTATATAGTTATGTGGAGCACTGTATTTTTATAAAATTAATGGGTTCTAGAAGAAATCGGCGAGATATTCTAAAAGAAATCGAATAAAAATTTTTTCATTAATTTTATAAAAATAGTATTGTCGAAGTGGCGCACTGCGGAATATTGGCTAAATGCCAAAAAAACAAAGACATCGGTCTTCTCAGGTAAATGAAAATCAATCGGATTCAAAGAAAAATGAAATATAAATTAACCCGATTCGATTAAAAAATAATTAAAATTCGATTGAGAAAGTGTTTAAATTCTATTTGAAATTTTGGAATAATTCGAAACAGATTAATTTCCATTTGATTTCGATTGAAAAAGAAATTATTTTCGAATCGGATTGATTTTCATTTACTTGAGACTAAAAGTGTAGATTTACGGGCATATGTATGTATAAGGATAGCTTAAAGGCACACACCACGCCCCGACACTTGCCGACACCGACGACATTATTTTTAGAATTTGAAAAAATACGAAGATCGTTGAATTTGATGATTTGAATTGTACAGGCTGCTAGATTGCCTAGTCAAGACGCTCCTTCTTCGCCATTTGAAACTTTTGTTATCAACCGAGGCACTTAAAATTCGGTATAAAGGTATATTCTCTTATTTTATTGCCTTAGGAAATCGCAAAAAAGCGACTTTGGTGTTTTTTTTTTCATACGAAACCCATAGGGAAAATTTAAAATATTTTTTCTCAAATTGTTTTCGTATCGACCGTTTTTCGATTTAACATTAGCAACATTCGACACAGAAATCCTTATCAGCCATTTCTTTTCTATTTGCATTTTCGACGTCCCCTGATTGCGGAATATTTGTTAAATGGTAAAAAAATTCCGATAGGGGAGGGGTTTAACTTATCCCAATTTATTTTTTCTTGTATATATTTTTCTCTTAATTTTTCTCGAAGATCGTTATTTCAGATAATTGAAAAGCAATCAGATTCGAAGAAAAATGAAATCTAAATTAACCTTATTTGATTGAAAAATAATTGAAATTCGAATGAGAAAGTGTTCATATTCGATTTGAAAAAATACTCAGAATTCTTCGAAATCGATTGATTTATTTCTCATTTCAATTTTGACATCGTATTTATTTTTTTTATCATTCGAAACCTAAAAATTATCAGCCTGATCGTGTATCTTCCGTGTACAAGCCGGCAACGCGATGACGCTCGATTATAATGAACATCGAAGAGAAATTGAGGCTGCCTATAAAAGGGCAACCGAGTCATCCGATGGAGATAAGTGGGTGATTTTCGATTATGAGAGAAACTCGAACACGTTGAAAGTCTGCGAGGAAGGAAGTACGCGTTGTATTATTCACGACATTCGTTAAATTATCTATTAATTTTTTTTAGCTGGAGGGCTTTCTGAATTTGCTGAAAGCTTCAGTTCTGGGCGACTTCAATTTGGTGTGATTGCTGTACGATTAAGTAGTGATGTTCTACCTAAAATTGTTCTTGTTCATTGGGTTTGTTGTTTTATTCATTTTCCAAGGCAACAATAGTTGTTTAGCAAGGAGAAGGCGTTCAAACATTACGATTGGCCTCAGCAAGGTCGCACGCCGAAGAATTTTGGAAATTCTTGAAAACTGTTCATATAATTCTTCACGCTCGTAGTGAAATTGATATTGAACCTGATGCGATCCGAAAAGAAGTCTCGAAATTGCCGTCGACAAATACGAATGCAAATGTGAGGTTTTTCTGAAATTCTCCCGCAATATTACATTTATTACTGTTCAAATTAGAGACTTGCGCTTTTTGATAAAAAATAATTATTTAAATTCTCAAAAAATCAAAAATCTTTATTGTAGGTGGAATCTTCATATTCGATTCCGGAAATACATGAATCGTCCTCTAAACCAACAACTAGAGATGAGTTTTGGAATAAAATGAATGAGGAGGAAAAGCGGTTGGTGATATTTTGACTAGGGTTGTGGAATTGAAATGGTGTTTTAGACGAATGGCTGAAGAGAAAAAAGTTCGAGAAGAGGAAGAAAAGCGGTACGAATAGATTTGAATGAATATTATACAATTAAAAGTCGTTTTAGTCGTGTTGCTGAGGAAAAGTTGGTTAATGAAATGAAACAGCAGCAGTTCGAAGAAGATCGCAAACGGATTGCCGATGATATTCACGCTAAGCTGCAAATTCAGGAGAAGGCGTCTAGTAACGGAGTGGACAAGACGCCGTCGAATACTGTTCCAGTCTCAGTTTTACCATCCCATAGTGCAACACCATCATGCACCATCATGCAAATCATTGAATATTGTTTTTAGATTCAACTCCGGTGTACACGGCTTATGAAGTACCTCCGGTAGATACATCAACATTCTCGTCACCGTATCCTTCTTCATCACCACCAGATCCGCTCTCATATGGTTTTCAATACGGTGTTGTGCCTAAGTACACCCCAGAGCCCGAGCCAGTCAAAAGGGCGCGTTCTAATATTTCAAGAGATGAATTCCGGAATAAGAAGAATGAAGAAGAAAAGAAGTAAGCGAAAATTTAAATAGATATAAAAAAAACATACGGTATTTAATGATCTCACGAGAAAGCTGTTTTCATTCGAATTGGTTGAGCCAATTTTGAAATCATTTTTCGAGTAGTGTGAATAATACTTTATAACACGAAATTATAAGATGCGATTCTCAAAAAAAGAAGTAATATTGAAATTAATCTTCGATTCCCATGTGAGTTTGAAGGAAATTGTTGATGTTGATTTTTCCGTCGGTCGCTTCAAGTCCATAAAGAAGCGAATCGACCTCTTGTGATGTCATTTTTTCTCCTTAATTGATACTAAATTCAAATTAATATTTAAAAGAGAAACCAGTGTTTTGCAACATATGGCGTAATTCAGCGACAGTTATTTGCCCATTTCCTTCACGATCGAAATGAGATAGGAGTGTCTAAAATATATAGATGAGAGAATGATGCTCTTAAAAAGTTTTATTACCTGAAACTCATTCAGAGTTGAAGCACGCCCGCATTCTTTCGCCATATTCTTGTAAATTGGAGTAAATTCTTGAACCGAAATTCGGGCATCTAGAAGCTTTTTGATAATTTAATTGCTGATATGTATTCACAAACTACCAGGTGTCTTTTCCCATTGTTTTGTCATTTTCTTAATCATTTGCTCTGTTGGATTTAGCATTAGAGCACGAATAGCATGTAGAAGCTTAAATGTATTTAAAACTTTAAAAGATCAAATGAATAAACAAATTAAAAGGCTTAAAATTATTTTTCAACGTTTGAATGGTTGGCGCATATTTGATTTTTCTGAATTTTGTTTTGAATATTGTAGAAGATGGGCGAAGTTGACAAATTTAAATGATCGTTAGCCATTTTTGATCTTAGCGCGAAATCAAAAAATTTTGTCAATCTCTTTTTCTTTTATATCAATCAAGTAATTGAAACCGCACGTTTGAATATGATCTCCTTCAAGACCTGTTTTTTTTTTTGAGAAATTAAACTTTACTGAAAGATATGCCTTATGGAGCATGCATAGACATTAGAAATCAGTTTCACGATCGACTTATATCGGTAAGTTGCATTTATAGTCTGTTTTTAACAAAAGCAAACCTGCGATGCAGCAATTTTTCCATCGCCTACCGTATCGTAGAAATGGAAAATATCTTGAATATCTTCGATTGGAACGCTCATTTTCTAAAATAAAACATAAATTTCCCAAAAAAAAGCGACTAGAAACAATAAAAAAAAACGGAACACAGGGGAAAGATTTACTGACTAGATTCTTTCGCTGAATCGCCCCGATACGCTTGACATTGTCACATTGCACCAAAAAATATCCAGATTTCAATTTCGCCCGCTGTGCCGGTCGCCACACGAGTCGTTGTTTAATCAGTTTCTTGAAGAAATGAACTCGGCAATCGGTGCGGGGAAAATATGCAAAGTATTTCTGCCTTTTAATGGTAGAAAAAGAACTACAGTTTTTCACGCTTTTTCTTTAATTTTGCGGCCATTCCGAAAGTCCCATGAATTGGGATGTGAGTTCCAATAGTTTCAAGTTTTATCAAATTGTTGCCTTCGCGTGAGGTCATGTTAATTTTTTTCTGCACGGGCTCCTCCAGAACTAACTCTGTATTGTTCATTCGAAAATTATCAACAAAAAATTAAAAGACGAAAACACGTGAATACGGAGGCAGTGGACGTGAGAAATTTCGTCGCTTCTCCCGCAAAAATTATAGAGTATTCATTTTTTTGCTTATTTTATTTATTTATAACAGAATCATATTGCCATAACTAATTTTTTTTTAGAATGAACTCACTTCCAAAAGGAGTAATACGCTCATCGACGCTTAAAACTTTGAGACAGCATTGTAAGAAAAATTACTCATAATTAACAAGTAAAAATTTGTTAGTTGCCGAAAAAAATTTATTCGCCTCGAATAGTTTTGAAAGTTGGAAGGATGATGTGTTGAAGCGAGTCAGTGTTTGGCGTGGAGACATTTGCAAATTGGAAGTCGATGCGATCGTAAATGCAGCAAATCGATCCCTCGCCGGAGGCGGTGGTGTTGATGGGGCCATTCATAGAGCAGCCGGATATGATCGACTGCAAAGCGAATGTCGAAAGTACGATTATTGCGATGTTGGAAGAGCTGTTATTACGTCTGGCTGTAACATAAGACACATTAAAAGTATTCAAATTCAAAATATTTCAAATTACGTTTGTTTTTTTTAGATATTATTCATACAGTTGGACCACAAGTATATGGTGTTGTGGGAGAAAAAGAAAAAAACGAACTCATTTCCTGCTATTCGTCGTCTTTAGAACTTGCCAAGAAGAATGGCTTAAAAACTATTGTAATTTCTTTGCTTTTATATTCGCTTCAATATGCTGTTTTGAGGCATTCTGCTGTATTTCCACCGGCGTTTATGGATACCCAAATGAGGATGCTGCGAAAGCCGTCACCGAGTTTTTGTCGAATTATTTGAAATGCGATCAAAACAATGATAAGGTTATTTCGATATTATAAAACAAAAACACTTAACTGTTATTTCAGATTGAACGAGTCGTGCTTGTCACTTTCTTGGATATAGACTACAACTATTATTTGAAATATTTTCGTGAATTTTTTAATCAGGAAGAAAAAAGTGCGTCAGCATCGACAGAAAAATTGGCTGGATGGCCTAGCAAACAGAAAAATTATATGCATTCGGGTGATGGAAACGAGACACAGACAAAAAAGAAAAAAGTTGATAGAGAAAGCTACTATTCATCTGAAAATCCATATAAGGTAATTTCTGAAATGTTTTCTCGCTCATTTCTGACAATTAGCTGTTTCAAACCACGAAATGCGAATTTTTCAATTACCAAATGTATTTTTCAGAATTGGGTCGATAGAAGAGCTCGACCATTACATTATGATTATTCTACTAAAAAAAACTAAACCAGCTAAGAGAAATACATAAAGAAGTATCAATCATTTCTACAAATTACGTTCTGATGTTGAAACTAAGCATGTTTTTTTTATTTTTAAAATTTTGCATATATTTTGTCGAGATATTTATGATATAAACACTGATTCGCGTTCTTTTCCATCTAAACAGTTCCGCACGTTGAACGATGAATAGCTCAAATATTCAAGTAACTGAAGCTATTCACGAAATCTACTCCTTACCAAAGCGAAAACCACCCTAATTTTGTCGAATAACTCGAAAACACGAATACCTCCAGAAATGGTTTCAATTAGAAAAATATGCGCATTTATTATTAGTTTCGTGTCACATTCACGAAATTCAACAAAAAATAACAATTAAAAAAATTTCGTCATTTTCACGAAAAAGTGAAAAAAAAATTCCACAAAACTATATATCCACTTGATAAAAAACTCAGAAAAAGACAGCAAGATTTAGAATTTGAAAGAAAATGAACATTTAGTAATTAACTGGACCTCCATTGAGTCGTGTTACATCAAAAATTCGACTGTCCATTGATAAATAAAGGTTGTCAAGAAGCTGTTGATCGACATTTTATTTAGTTGAAAAATATGAATTTGGTTAAAAATTATTTATTTAGTTAATAATTATATTTAGTTAAAAATCATATTTAGTGAATTTAGTTAAAAAAAATATTTAGTTAATAATTATTGGCCAAAAATCGGTAGTGAAAAAACTATGTTTTCGGGAGCGAAAATGTGGTAGTGAAAAACCGGTAGCGGAGCGAAAAATTGGTAGCGAAGAGCTACAAAAAAAAATTTAAATAAAGTCTCCGTAAATCGCTGCGAGGATTACGGTAACTGTCTCTTAGCATTGCGTACAAAACGCAGGATACTACGACACCTGGATACATTTGTCATTTTTCAACAATAGTCATTCTTCTTGATTTTATCAATAACCCACTTCATTTCAGAAAAAAACGAGTTTAAACGAGTTTAAAGAAAATTTTTTTTAAATTAAATATTAAGAAAACAGCTAAATTTTGACTTTAAGGTACAAACAATATTTCAAAATTTTCGTCCGTCCGCAGCCATGAATATCAACCTAAGTGCATTGTTTTTAAATTTTTTTCTATTTGTTTGATTAACAAGGTTATTTCTATCAATATTTTATAGATATTGTTCACATTATCTTCAACACGGAAAAGTTGTATTCCAAGTTAGGAATGCATTTAGGAAAATTCAATATATAAATAATAATTGTTTGTCCTCTTGAATAATTTTTGAAATATTTTTTGTTCCTTGTAAAGTGTTTTAAAAAAATAATTTTCATTCGTTTAAAGATTAAATTAATTTAGTTATTTTTTTATATTTAATAAAAAAGATGAAAAAAAAGACTTTCTTTAAACTCGATTTTTTCTGAAATGAAATGGATTATTGATAAAATCAAGAAGAATGACTATAAGAAAATTTGGTAGTGAAAAAACGGTAGTGAAAAAAACTATAATTTCGGTAGTGAAAATTTGGTAGTGGAGATAGAAATCTGTAGTGAGGAATCGTTTACCCAAGGTCTCTCTTATCGACAAATTGGGAATGATCTCGGACGCACTCATAATGTTATTAGCCGATATGCTAAGAATCCAGCCGCATATGGTCAAAAAAAGTTGACAGGTCGTCCTTCACTGCTTCCGGACCGCAAAAGCGCAAAATTTTGATAAGCGCAAAATTTTGCGGCGGAGCGTCAAATTCGGTCGTGTCGTGCTCAACGATTCGAAGGGAATTCAATCTCATGCTGACAAATCAAACCGTCCGGCGTGTTTTATCGAAGAGCACCTTCATCAAACACAGGAAAATGAGGAAGGCACCAGTGTTGACTCGAATACATCGTGAAAAACGGCTGGAGTTTGCAAAAACGAATCAACGAACTGACTGGAGACAAGTGAGAATAACTGCAACGTTCATTGAACTCTTTTTCTTCCTTCAGGTAGTCTTTTCTGATGAAAAAAGTTCAATTGTGATGGGCCAGATGGTTATCGTGATTATTGGCACGATTTGAGAATGGAGAAGCTGCGGTTTTCGCGAAGAAACTTCAAACGAGGATGCGTCATGATATGGGCTGCAATCAGCTCGCTTGGAAGAATCAAGTTGTGCTTCGTTTCGCCGAAGATAAGTGGTTCTGACTACCGATACGTCATAAGACGTTGTCTTTTGCCATTTTGGCGTCGAAATAGGCACAAAAATTACTCTTTCATGCAAGATGGAGCTCCTTGTCATCGCGCTCGCCGCACCATCCAGTGGATACGCAGCCGTAGAATCCCAGCTCTCGACTGGCCAGCCTGTTCTCCAGACATAAACCCCATCGAAAACGTCTGGGGATTTATGGTGAAGAAGATTTACAATGGCAACAAGTCTTTTCATTCAACTACGGATTTCAAAAAGGCAATCGTGGAAGCCTGGAAGCTTGTCGATCAACAGCTTCTTGACAAACGTTATTTATCAATGGATAGTCGAATTTTTGATGTAACACGACTCAATGGAGGTAAAACTAATAATGAAACTAATAATAAATGCGCATATTTTTCTAATTGAAACCATTTCTGAAGCTATTCGCGTTTTCGAGTTATTCGACAAAATTAGGGTGGGTATATAGTTTTGTGGAGCACTGTATTTTTATAAAATTAATGGGTTCTAGAAGAAAACGGCGAGATATTCTAAAAGAAATCGAATAAAAATTAAGATAAAAATTGGAAATGTTCCATGACCGAATAATTCGCGGCCCCGATAATTCGGTCGCACGAGTGGTAGCCTTTCAAGACTCCTTCGAAGAGCTTAAATGCAAAACCACCAATGACAGAAAGTAATTTATCGTGGAAATAATACTCATGATTTAGTTATTCATGCAATAAAATGTTCTAGATTGTTGTGTTCTAGTAGCCATAACTGCGAAGATGCTTATTTTCCGGCGTTTTTGAAGAAGCTTCGTGTGACAAATTTAAAATTCGAGTCACTGAAATTATTCTTTTCAACAAAATCGTCTGAGACGACGATATCATCACAAGAATAACGAGTTAGTCCGCGCGAGACCAGGAGAATGAGACATGTGCGTAATTCTACTCTACAACAGTCGCCGGACGCCAACTATACCATTTTTATACAGATGTTACGGTATAAATGACCTAACGAAATAATGAAAATAGTTAATAAATATGTTTCCGAGTAAAAACTGTGTTTAGTTGTTTTCATTAAACTAACGGAAACTACTAACAAAATCTTTTTTTTTTTTTCATACGAAACCCATAGGGAAAATAAAAAAAAATTTGTAAATTGTCTTTCTTATCGATCGTTTTTCGATTTAACATTAGCAACATTCGACACAGAAATCCTTATCAGCCATTTCTTTTCTATTTGCATTGTCGACGTCCCCTGATTGCGGAATATTTGTTAAATGGTAAAAAAAATTCCGATAGGGGAGGGGTTTAACTTATCCCTATTTATTTTTTTCTTATATATTTTTTCTCTTAATTTTTCTCGAAGATCGTTATTTCAGGTAAATGAAAACCAATCAGATTCGAAGAAAAATGAAATCTAAATTAACCTGATTTGATTGAAAAATAATTGAAATTCGAAAGTATTTATATTCGGTTAAAAAAAACTCGGACATCTTCGAAATCGATTGATTTTCATTTATCAAAGAAACCTGCAAAGAAATTATGCAGCGATGCCCTTTTCATCGAAATAAGCGCTTTATTTTAATAAGGGTGTACTGTAGTCGCCGCCCGATACTTAAAACGAATTTTTCAAAAAAATTTTTTTTTTTTCAAAAAACTATTCTTTAAGGGACCGGCTAACATGTGTCCGGCTAACATGATATATCAGTGTCCGGCTAACATGATATAGCTTTTTCCGTTCCATCCGGCATTCGATGTGTGAGGACGGCTCCAATCCCATTGGTTGATGCGTCAGCGGCGACTACGAGCGGCAATCTGGGATCATAGTGCCTGAGCAGGAGGTCCGAAAAGAGGACGTCCTTAATTCGGTCGAAGGCAGCTTGAAATTGTGATGTCCATGTGAACCGCACGTCCTTCTTTGTGAGCGCATCCAGTGGTTGTCGAAGGGTGAATAGGTCCTTGACGAATGATCCATAGAATTGAACCATTCCAAGAAAAGATCGGAGTTGCTTGATATCCTTTGCCACTGGCATTTCGGAGATGGCTTCTACACATTCGAATAGATCCGTTCTTCTTCTTGACGACAACGATTGGAGCGGCCCAGTCCGAATGGTCGATCTTCGAAAGTACTCCTTGAGCAATGAGGCGTTCCAATTCTTCAGTGACGCGTGGGAGAGCAGCATACGGGACGGGTCTTAACTTCCGGAATATTGGCGTGGCATCCGGCTTCAACTTCAGGCTGGCAGTCGTTTTGGTGCATCTTCCTAATCCTGGGTTGCATACGTCCGCGTTTTTCTTCATTATCTCCTCACAAAGCTTTCGTCGGCCATCCTTAAGGTCGTGCGAAGGTCGTGCGAAGTGATCTTGATCAGCTTGGTGTACGCGTCGGCAGAGGCATCGTCCGTGAGCAAGAGAGAGCGGGGAATGTTCTGGATCCAATCCAGTCCGAGGAGTGTGGCGGTATCGGCTACATGACAATATACAAGATCAAAAAAAAATTTTGTCGAGGAAAAAATCAAAATTGTCCAGGAATATCGAAAATAAGCAAAATTGAAATAATTGCGGACTGAATTTTATTTAACGAACGAACACATGTTGCTTACTTCGAAATCGTATTTCTTCGCGATGAATAAACGTCGTAATTTTTTTTGATTTTTTGCCTATTTTTCATTGCATTCCTTATATGTACTTTTAAGGGTCTATTAGAAACCACCCCTACTTTTTAACCCCCACCCCTGCTATTCCACCCCCACTTTTTCACCCCCAATTTTTAGGTTTCACCCCCACTTCTTCACCGCACTTCAAAATTTGCAGTTTCTAACAATAATGTTTAGCAGTAAAATT